GTCCTGCAGTTTCTGTAGGCATGGAGAAGTCATTGCTTTTATAGACCAGGTATGTGTGATAAACGTCCCTCAAAAACTAATAAACTGGGCCGCGGTTTGGTGTGGTGGTTAAGGCAGCTGGATCCCACATGATCGACTGCAGTTAAGAGTCCCAGACTTGGCCGCTTAAGAAACATGGCAGGCGTATGTTTGTGTGCCTGAAATCCTGAAAGGAGGGAGACATGGAGGAGAAGGGATTGCAGCATGACCATCCCCCATGGGAGGTGCTTTCTCATTGTCTGTCTCCCCACCCCCCACCTACCAGTAAGCGCATATGCCCTTTGTCAAAAATTAAAAAACAAACAAAAAACTAATGAACTGGTTATTTGCTTCTGGCCAGTTCCAGGTAAAAGTGTCCACTGCCATAGATCTCTCCTGGGTCATAATTTTTAAGTCAGTGGATTCTTCTAGTTATGGATCCCTGTCTGGACCCATCTCTCTCTCTCTCATTTGCATAGCAACCACCTTGAGGCTGTACCCTAAATCTGACCTTTACAAATAGGCTGACTTCCACTGGCCCAGGAATCATTGTGGAGTCTTAGGGAGGCCTTGAGAGCGACTCTTTATCTCTTCTTTTTTTTTTTTTTTTGAGGGGTTTTTGCTATAGGGTGCGTGCGCTCGCCAGACAGACAGAGAGAGACAGACAGAAAGCAGGAAATCACCCCCCAGGGGGGATGGCCACGCCGCAATCCCTTCTCCTCCTTTCTCCTCTCGGGATCTTGGGCACGCACACACGCCCGGCGTGAGTTTAAGCCACCAGGTCCGGGACTCGAACCATGGTGGACTACGTGGGAGTCCAGTGACATAGCCATTACACTAACTGCTGGTCCCATCTTTATCTCTTCTTTATGGGCCAGAAAAGCATGGACTTTTCCAACCGTGTGGGGTCCAAATTCCCAGAGTTTGCAAATATACAAATACAGATGTATATTCTCTTTGTCCCCCTTCTTGGCAGAAGGTAGTGTGCTGTACATGTTGCTTTGTCCTTTGCCCTACTCATTCAGCAATGTGGGAGAGCTTTTCCCATCAGTGCACCGAGCTTCACTGCTGTTTTCCAGTTCTGTCAGGTGCCCTGCACAGAACAGTGCTTTATGTATCAAACTCATCATCCTGGACATTCGGGTGTTTCCAGTTCTTGCTATTGTAAATAATTCTGCACCGAAGAGCCATGAACAAGTTTATTTCACACATGAGCGGTATGTCTGTATATTAAATTTACAGAAATAAAATTGGCAGTCCAAAGGGTTTGTGCATTTGTAACATTAACAGATACTGCCGAATGGCCTTCCCTAGAAGTCATACCGTTTCACATGCCCAACATAAAAGTTATGTGGGAGAATACCTATCTCATCACATCGCCCACACAAAAGTGAAACACGGCACGCTAGCAGAGTTTTAATTTGCATTTTTTTCTAATTACAGCTGAGGTCGAGCACCTTTATGTGCTTGAGTCACTTGTGTTTCCTTTTCTGTGAATTGTTTGTTTGTAGCCTTTGCTACGTACGGTTGTTGGCCTTTCCCTGTTCATTTCCAGGAGTTTGTTGTGTAATAGGGAAATTTGTTCTTTGTGATATAATCTGAAAATATCTTCCCACTTCATCATTTGCCTTTTAACATTACTTTTTGTCATGTAGATGTTTTTCTTCTTTGAATTCATGAACCTTTCTATAGCTTCTAGATTTTGAGTCATGGCTTAAACGGTGTTCTAGGGGTAACATGAGACAGAGTTTATATGACAGAGTCTGAGGGATAGAAGGAAGCCTAGTTAGGCGAGCTCAGGGGTGGGCAGGGAGAGCTTGAGCTGCTCTAACTTGACCACAGCAATGACGTGTATAAAAATGGACTGCATGCGACTTCTGCAACGCCTCATCTGTGTCTGGTGTTCATTCTGACTTCCGGTGAGCCAAACCTACTGATTACTGTTTCATCTGTAACTCTTGCCCTTAGCATCTCTTAGTTAAGAGTCCTTTCTATGATCTTTTCTAATGAATCAGAAGACATTGGAGAACTATTCTATAATTAAAAAAATTAAATTAGAAAAGGAAAGAAAGACTATTACAGAATACATGTGTTGTATGTATCTAACACATGTAGCCACATCTTTAGACCTTGCTTAGATCTTGATTCAAACAAATCAACTATAAAGTGACATTTTCGGGACAACAGGTATAACTCCGATGTGGACTGGGTATTGGTTTATATTAAGGCTGCATTCTTTATTTTTCTAGATGAGGAAAGGGCGTGGCGTTTATGTCTTATGTTATTTTTTAGGCAGACTCTCATTTAGGGATACGTCCCAAAGTATTCGTAAATAAAAATACTATGGTGTAGTGTTTCTTTTTATTTTTACTTTTTTTTTTTTTTTTGGAGAGGTTTTCGCTATAGGGCGCGTGCGCTCACCAGACAGAGAGAGACATAGAGACAGAAAGCGAGAAATCACCCACCAGGGGGGATGGTCACGCCGCAATCTTTTCTCCTCCATTCTCCTCTCGGGATCTTGGGCACGCATGCACACGCGCCCGGCGTGAGTTTTAAGCCACCGGGTCCAGGACGTGAACCGCAGTCGACTACATGGGAGTCCAGCGACATAGCCATTACACTAACTGCTGGTTCCCGATGTAGTGTTTCTTATTACAAGAAAAAAAAATGGTGGTGATAAGGAATAGGGCTAAACTCTACCTATATTGATCAGATATTGGTCGTTACTAAAGCTAAGTGACAGATACATGGAGTTTATTCTTTGTACTTTTTGTGTATATTTGAAAATTTCCATAATAAAAGGCTTCAAAAGACTAAATATAAAATGAACATGTTTATTGTAGAAAACACTGAAAAATAGAGAAAAGCTCAAAGAAAAAAAGAACATCATAGCCAGACATAGCCATTATTAATTTTTTTTATATATTCCTCTATTCTTTTTCTACATGTAAATGTGTACATATACATTTTTTTAAAAAGATTATTAAAGTCATTTAATATCTACATTTTATAATGGGTAACATGTTAACTTTTCAATGTATCAGGAAGAAAAATCCTTAATCATACATTGGTGGTTTCATAGCAATTCAGTATACAGATATACTATAATTTATTTATCTACTTCACTGATATTGGGCTTTTTGGTTCTTACTTGTCACCTCTGTAAACATGAGCTTCCTGGGGATAAATATCTTCACTTCCTTAAGTCTTTCTCTAGGCTATATTCTTAGAAAAGGAATCATTGGGAATTTAAGTTACTTTTTAAAAGGGTAGTACTGGGGCCAGCAGGTAGCATGGTGGTTAAGGTGCTGGACTCCCATGTGGCTGACCATGGTTCAAGTCCCAGACCTGGTGGCTTGCTTTCTCACTTTCCCTCTCTCTTTTTGTGTCTCTCTCTGGTCAAATTAAAATAAATGAATGAACAAGTACAATTAAATAAATATTTTTAAGAAAAGGGGACCAGTGGTTGTCCTAATGGCTATGTCACTGGACTCCTGTGTCATCGACCGTGGTTCAAGTCCTGAGCCTGGTGGCTTAAACTTATGCCGGGCATGTATGTGCGTGTGCCCAAGATCCTAAGAGGAGAATGGAGGAGAAGGGATTGCAGCGTGGCCATCCCCCCAGGGGGTGATTTCTCGCCTTCTGTCTCTCTGTCTCTGTCTTTCTGGTGAGTGCATGTGCCCTATAGCAAAAACCTCTCCAAAAAAAAATATAAAGGGGGGGTGGGTGGTACCATTTTGTCCCTCTACCAGCAGTAAACGGGAGTGCCTGCTTTTCTGTATTTGTAAAGCCATAAGACAGACTTGACCAGGCCAGCAGTGGATATGCCAGAGGGACGACAAGTGATGGAACACAGAGGCTGCCATTGGATGACTGTCGCAGGGAGTGGTGGAGAGAGGCAGAGCTGCCTGCCCTGGGCATCTGCAGGCTCGCCTATGCCTGTGTTTTTATCAGTGAATGGACTATAGGCTCAGGAAGAACTTCTGTGCCTCTGGTCCCACAGGGAATCCTTCATCTGGCCCAGAAGTCTGTGGGTAGCGTATATGGGATTCCGCCCTGTCCAGCTCTTCTCTGGTTTTTACAATATCATGTCTGTTCAGCAGTGTCTGAAGATGCTTGCCACATGTTGAGGTAGTTGGAAAATAGCTGGCTTTCAGTTGGCCAATCAGAGTCTTGGCTCTGCTCATGTGGCGTCATAGTTTGGAGTAACCATACTGGCAAGTTGCAGGCTGGGAGCATGGCCAGTCCTGTGTTGAAGTTGTCCCTTCTTCCTGGGAGCGCCATTCTCCAAAGAGTGGCACACGCTCTCTAGCATGCCTTCCTCGAGAACTGTACACGTTAGCCACGACCTTACCTCTCTCCGTTTCCCAAGAGGAGGAGGATGTGAGCGTGGCACTCTTGGGAGTTTCAGGGCCACATTTGAGCTTTTTGTAAGGATCTTTTCTTCTTTCAATTTTAATTTCTTTTTTTAAATGAATTATTTTATTTAACTTGGTTTATTTTTAATTTGACCAGAGAGTGAGAGAGAGAGTGAGAAAGCAAGCCGCCAGGTCTGGGACTCAAACTGTGGTCAGCCGTGTGGGAATCCAATACTCTTAACCACCACACCACCTGCTGGACCCATTAATTTTAATTTCATTATACATTCAGTCACTACACGTCACTACAGCTTGTAAGGTGAATTTACCCAACATAAATGTAAGTCACATCAGCCCAGCTGAGGGTGCTATACACGTTATCATCAACAGTTAATCATCTGTGTCTATGTCCCATAAATGTCTTGCCTCTCTGTTTTCCTTCTTGTTTCCTAAAGATCTAAAGTAACACCAAAGGAATGGTTCTGGGCAACCTCCAAATGGGGGCTTTTGAGTGTATCAGGGCCTTGGCTTCTCAGCGTCCTAACCTTTCTGGCAGGGGGTTTACTTCTGAGCCGTGAGCAGAGCTGTTCTCACTGTACACATGTGTATGTGTGTGTTGTGCAGACACCAGCTGGAGGTGCCGGGACATTACTCTCATCTCGCTGCATTCTATGAGGACAAGAAAGGGGTGCTCCATGCCGGCCCTGGGAGAGGCAGCAGCCTGCCCCCTGTCTACTGGCTGCCGTCTATCCACCGATACATGTACCCTGAGATGAAGGTGAGCTCAGCCCTGCTCTCCACACTGCTGCCTTGTGCTGGAAATCAAAGCTGTTGATTAATGTTTAATGAATGAGGAATTTATGTCTGGGCTCATGTAAAACGTCTGCCTGCAGTAGGATGGGGTTGTAACATAAGCTTTGGGTTCATTTCAAACATAAGGCAAGTTATCTTAAAGTATGCTGTGGAGACACTTCTGCAGTCATACGGCAGAGCCAGGCATGCTGGGGTCCTAACGGGGAGAAGATGGATTCGATTCCGTGGATTGCTTCAGGTTTTTTAAACCAGATGTATGAACTAGAGGTTGATGAACAAGTATGATATTTCTTAGCTACGACATTTTTGAAGTTATTTGGTATTTTTCTGAAGTACTTCACCTTTGGGACTAGAACACACTTGTTTATAGTTCAGAAAACACCAGGCCAAGGGTTAGGTGTTGGAAGGATACAGAAGTGACTTAGACCAGGAACCTCTTCTTCCTCTGCCTTTCCCTCTCCTGTGGTTGGTCACATAATGTTTCAGTGGAAACCAAGGACTCCCTGCTAGAGAAATTAAACTGAATTTAGGGGAGAACTCTGGGAAGGCATCTTAGAAGCGGGGGTTGGTCACTGCAGTAGCTGGCTAGATGGAAAGTGGGAATGCTTGTTCCAGCCTGAGAGATGGCAGCCATGGTCTCCCGGCCTCTCAGCACCTTCTGTGAGTTCGACCTGGTGCTGGTTATTTATCTACATCTGTGGAGCACTCTTTGGAGAAAAAAAAGTTTATTAGTATTTCTAGCTAAAGCAATAGAAGTTTTTTGTTTTGTTTTTAAGCAAGGATCAGTGACTTGCTTCAGGTCTTACTGCTAAATAGTAGAGCCAGGACTTCAACACAGGACTGGCCCCAAGGCCGGTGTGTGTTCCCTGCCCCCTTCACTCTCTGCAGAGATGTGGAGAGGACAAGGCGAGGCAAGCTCACAGGACATGAGGAAGCTGGTGTGACTGGGAGTCAGTGTATAAGGGTGAAGAAAATTCCCCTCCCCAGTGCAGTTCCTAAAATGACTAATAGGTAGATGAGTAAAAGAAAAAACACACAGATTTATTTTAACATCTACGTGTGAACAGGGGAGCCATCAGAATGAGGACCCCAAAACACAGAGGAAGCAATCTGATTTTGTGTCAAGGTTTGATGAAGCAGGGACATTTGTACAGAGATGTGATTGGACAAAAGGATGCCAGCCATGGAAGGAGACTGAGTGGGAAACCCAGCAAGGCCTGTCCACTTAGAGTCTTCTTAGCCCCTCTGCACCGCATTCCTTCTCCTCAGGAATGGGGCTGGCCCCTCTGGAAGGAAGGTCTCATGATACAATAGCAGATGGAATAGATCAGAGAATTTCTTCATGGTCAGCTCTTCATGAGAAAGTGGTAGAAAGTTATAGTTTTAGGTTTTATAGTAGACTTTGGGGAAAAGAAGTTCTAGGTTCTATGACCTGCCTTAAAACAGAGGCCTTCTAGTATCAGTGGGTTTCCCGGGGGGAGGAGGAGGGGTTAGATGGGAGGGCAGAAGAAAGTCAGAAAGAAATTGCTTCTGAGGCCTTTTCTTTTGGGTATCACTTTATGACCCCCAGACAGATGTTTATGTCAGCTGGTCATGAGGGAAAAACTGGAAAAATGGTTTAGAATCAGATTGTAGAAAGCCTTAAATGCCAGACCATAGCATTTGAACTCTAATAAATATAAAGTTAGGGTTTTGTCAGGAAAACAGAAGCGATGATAGGTATTTCAAACCAATTTGGTACTGAGGAATCACTAATAGAGGAGCGGCAGGACTAAAGGGATGAAAAGGGAATAGGATAACAGGTATGTCAGCAATTAAGACAGCAGCGGCCACACTGTGTTAGTCATTTCGTGCTGTGTAACAAATTACTCCAAAATTGATGGTTTAAAACAGTGCATATTTGAGCCAGCAGGTGGGTGTGGTGGTTAGGGCACTGGATCCCACATGGCCAACTCTGTGGTTCAAGTCCTGAACCTGGTGGCTTGAATGAAAACACCAGGCATGTATGCATGCAAGCCTAAAATCCTGAGAGGAGGAAGAAGGAGAGGGAATTTCATCGTGGCCATCCCCGGCGGGTAGTTTTTCACTTTCCCTTTCTTTCTCTTTCTCTCTCCACTGAGCAAACTCATCCTATGACAAAAATCTAAAACAACAATCGAAACCCAGCGCATATTTATTGTCCCACAGTTTCTATGAGCCAGGAATCCAGCATGGCTTAGTTGGGTCTTTCCTTTCGTGGTCTCTCATGAGACAGTAGTCATGGATCAGCCACTATGGGGGCTCATCTGAAGGCTAATTGGGAAATATCAGCCTGTAGACTCCTGTGAGTGTAGGCAGGATTAACTTTCCAGAGAACTGGTGAACCAAGGGCCTCTGTACCACACTGGCTATTTGGTGGAGCCTGCCCTCGATTCTCAGTCATGTTGCTTTCCCCATCATGGCAGCTTGCTTTATCTGAGCCAGTAAGAGAGAGTCCACTGACAAGATGCAAGTCAAAATCGCATATAATAATGGAAGCGATGGTGCCTCAGTGTGGCCATTTCCTCTTAATATCTGCACCCTCATGTTTGTTGCAGCACTGTTCACAATCGCCACAATACACAGTCAGTCTGCGTCCATTGACAGATGAACAGATTGAAAAATGTGTATAGAAACTGGCAGGTGGCATGGTGGTTAAGGTCGCTGGACTCCCACATGGCCAACTGTGGTTTGAGTCCTGGACCTGGTGGCTTGCTATCTCTCTCTCCTTTTCGCTCTCTCACTCTGTCCCTCTCTGGTCAAATTAAAATAAATAGATAAATAAAGTTAAATAAAAAACAATTCTTTAAAAATGTGTATGTGGGACCAGCTGTTGGTGTAATGGCTATGTCGCTGGACTCCCACATAGTCAACTGCGGTTCGTGTCCCAGACCCGGTGGCTTAAAAAAACTCACGCCGGGTGCATGTGCGTGTGTGCCCAAGATCCCGAGAGGAGAATGGAGGAGAAGGGATTGTGGCGTGGCCATCCCCCCTGGGGGGTGATTTCTTGCTTTCTGTCTCTCTGTCTCTATCTGGTGAGTGCACGTGCCCTATAGCAAAAACCTCTTCAAAAAAAATGATATAAAAAATGTGTGTGTATGTGCATATATATATATATGATGAAATATTATTCAGCCAATAAAAAGGACAAATTCCTGTCATTTGAGGTTAAATGGGCAAGCCTGGGGGACATAATACTAAGTGAAATAAGGCAAGCACAGAAAGAGAAATACCACATTTTCTCCTGCAGATGTGGAAATTGAAAAAATGACCTCATTGAGGTAGAGAGCTAAAGAATGACCACTTGAGACTGAGAAGGATGTGGGGGGAAGGGAATTAGAGGGATGTTGCTGAACAGAATCAGAATTACAGATAGACACAAGGCACCATTAATACGGTTATAAAATACAGTGGCGTGAGTACAGTTAACGCCATTCCCCGTATATCTCAGCGTGCCTAAAAGCGAGGACTTGAGTACTCCCAACACGAGGACTGACGAATGACTGGGATGATGGGCTTACTAACTGCTCTCATCGCACACTGTATCCATGTACTAAAAATCACATCATACCCAACCCACATGTACGATTATATTTTTAAGCTGTCTTATTTATCTTTAATTTAACTTTATTTTTTAAATTTATTTACTTTTTTTTTTCTTGAGAGGTTTTTCGCTAGAGGGCGCATGTGCTCGCCAGACAGACAGAGAGAGACATAGAGACAGAAAGCAAGAAATCATCCCCCAGGGGGGATGGTCACGCAGCAATCCCTTCTCCTCCATTCTCCTCTCGAGATCTTGGGCACGCACGCACACGTGTCCGGCGTGAGTTTTAAGCCACTGGGTCCGGGACGCGAACCGCGGTTGACTACGTGGGAGTCCAGCGACATAGCCATTACTCTAACTGCTGGTTCCCTATTTACTTATTTTTAATATGACTAGAGAGGGACAGAGTGAGAGTAAGAGTGAAAGAGAGGGAAAGCGAGAAAGCAAGCCGCCATGTCTAGGACTAGAACCGTGGTCGGCCATGTGGGAGTCCAGCGCCCTTAACCACTACACCACCTGCCGGCCCCGCTATATGTACGATTATGCTGTGAGAAGAAAACATAAATAAAAAGAAGAAGGTTACTTACAAGGAACAGAGGTTACCCTAGGCTGTACATACCCAGAGGGTGGCATCTCTGGGGGCTCTTAAGGTAGGCTGCCACACACCCGGGGCCAGGTCACAAAGCAGGGAAGCAGCAGCATCAAACCATAGGAACTTGGGGTGGGGACCCTGTGCAGCCACTGCCGGAACTCTGAGGGGTTGCTGTGACCCGATGCACCTGGCAGGGGTCATGGGGTCAGGGCTTAGATGGTGCTCTGACTGCTGGAAAAGCTGGAGGCCAGAGCCCTGGGCATCTTCTGCTGCTGAAGTGCTAGCAAGAGCAGGAGACCGAAGAGAATGAATTCCTTCTCCCTCCTGCCCCCCAGTCGCCAGTCTTTACTCCCCGCTAGGAGAGCCTGACAGGAAGTAAGGAAATGCGGAGTCCAGATGTCCCGGCCCAGTGGCATGGGCTGAGAGACACTGCTTAAGAAATGGTCAAGAAGTGGCCGGGGGATCCAGGCTGTCATTGCCCTGACCCTGCTCCTTGTGCTCCTGACCCCGGCCCATTTCTCCTGCGGAGCCACGTTGTGTTGGGCTGTCTCCAGACCCGTCAGGAGGTGCCCAGCCTTGGACCTGAATGTAGATTCCTCTCCCCAAGAGGCCAGGAAGGAAGGACAGAGGGAGAGGAGGAAAACTTATTCTTTTGCCTCGTGGAGGAGAGCTCATTAATATGCCTGTCAGAGCCCAGGAGAGGCAGAGCAAAGGGTATCCTCACAGGCTGAAGATGTACACGAAGAGGCTCTTCCTGACAAAAGTATTATACATGCCGGGCCAGCCTGTAGCCTGGTGGTTCACGCAGCTGGATTCCACATGGCTGATTGCACAAGTCAAGTCCGGGCCCCAGTGGTTTGAAAAACATCCCAGCACATGTACTTGTGTGGCCAAACTTCGGAAAGGAAGGAAGAAATGGAGAAGGGATTGTGGACTGTGTCCCGTGGCGGGGGGGGGGGGGGGCTTCTTACTTTCCCTCTCTGCCTCTGGCGAACGCACACACCCTCTAAACATATTTTCACACATTAAAATTTAAGTACACGTGTACCTTGTGCACTCTCTAAACATATGTCCGCACATTAAAATTTAAGTACACGTGTACCTTGTGTTTCAGAGGTCCCACTCCCCAGGCCCATCCTGTAGACATAACCCATCAGAATGCTGTGTGTTAAGAATCATCACTGGTAGACACTGGAATGTCCGTGTATGAAGCAGCCGTTATGGACAATGAATTCTAGCCTAAGAAGTTGATGTGGAAGGGCTGATTTATGTGAGGATAGCAAGCTGCAGAGAACAACATGTGATATGATTGTCCTTCTGCTAAATAACCACAGCGTCAGGTGCAGATACAGATGTACATGTGCATGTGTGACCACGGGGACACAGGGACGTCAGCTAGGTTATTAAGACATGTGTCACTGATGCCGGGATAGGCAGGACACTCACCCGGGAGGACCAGAAGTTAGGTCTGTCATTCACTAGCTCCTTGACAGAGAGAGAAGAAACGGTGAATAAGGAAAGGAATTTATTCCAGTGAGGTCAGCGAGGGAGAGAGCAGACCAGAGTCCATACTGTCCGCTGTACTGGATGAGATGCAAAACTAAGAGACAGGACGGGCTCAGTTAGAGGACCTAGAAGCAAAGGGTGAGTTATTCATTGTCTTAGGACAGAATGAGGAGGAGGCCTGGTTGCTGTCTCGGGGCAGGTTCACAGGGAGATCTGACTGTACCAGGGGAGCATTTGCTACCTGAAGGACAGTTTCCTTTCTGGGCATGCAGGGCAGAGGGAAATGCCGTTTCCACTCACTGCAAGGACTTAAAGATAAGCAATGATGAACAAAGCAGAAGAAGCAAAATGGAGTCAGATAGGGCAACCCTTCCACCCCGGTCTAGAGCCAGCAAAGTTCTAGGCGTGGCTTTGCAATGTTTGAGCTGATCAAATCTCAGCCACTTACACGGGGCTGCTGAAATCTTTCCCCTCCCGTCTCCATAAAGTTGGTGTCGGTAGACTCAGCAAGGTTCTTCTTCATTTTCCTTCCCAGAGTCTCATGTTTCCTCTTAGCCGGGCCTTTGTGTATGCCTGTCTCACTGCCAAGAGCCCTTTATGTGGAACTTGGACTTCACTTCCTGCAGGAAGTCTTCTCTCTCTCCTTTCCAGAGTGGGATCAGGCACCTTCCTGGGAGTCCCACGACTCTCCCCGTCCCTTCCCTTCCTCCCCACAGGTCTTATCTGGTTGTATTTAAATCACTTATTTCTCCGTTTCGTTCCCCCCCCCCCCCAGCGCTGTAACCACATCAAACAAACGAGGGCAGAAACCAGGTCCTTCTTGTTTATCGTTGGAGCTAGACTACCTAGGGCTTGGCATAAACCGAGCCTGTTTCTCGAGTGCATAGTGAAGGAATGAATAACCAACTCAGAACTGAGGAAGGACCGAGCATTTATTGTATTAATAGGATTCTGAGGCCCGGGGCACATGGTTCAAACTCCATCAGACCCTGTGCAGTGGAAGCATGAGCTCAGGGCTTGAAGAGAGCCCGGGGGAAGTCAGGGAGCCCGGGCTGCTGTGGCGCCCTTTCTATCTGTTGCCCTCGGCTTGGTGAGAGTGACAGGCGGCACCTGAGCAGACTTGGCGCCCGGTGCCTCTCCCGGATGTTTCCCAAAGACAACTGTAACCAGCTATAACCGCTCCCCCCTTCTGTTTTCCAGATCACACACCCAGCTGGCTGCATGTCTCAGTTTATTAAGTTCTTTGGAGAACAGATCCTCATCCTCTGGAAATTTGCCTTACTTCGAAAGCGCATTTTGATATTTTCTCCTCCTCCTGTGGGCGTCGTGTGCTACAGAGGTAACTGCGAGCCAGAGCCAGCATCGGGGGCTCTTCGTACGTGCCCCAGAGCAGAGCCTGCTCCAGCTTTTTCTTTGTTGGTCAGGGTTGGAGTAGTTTGGGCGATAGAGGCCTGGGGGTTGAGCCTGGGAGTGACGTGATGGGGTCTGTATTTTAGAATGTGGACTCTGGTGGCAGTGTGGGTGACACACGGTGCCTGGTGAGAGTTGAGGGTGTGGATTAAAGCAGGTGGGTTCTGGCTGTGTTCATAGCTAGACGAGATGTGTTGTCTGATTGGTCGTAAAGGTTCTGATGCGTGTGAGGTTGTAATGGAGAAAGTCTGGGATGACGAGTTCGGTGGGGCCACCAGCGGGGTACCGCGGTGAGTAGGTGGGGTTGGCCCAGTAGGGTTGATCGGGACCTGGTGAGAGGGCCCTGCCTGTGAGATCCTTATGGCTGTCACACGCCAGGCCTCGAACCATTGGGCTCGACCTTGGAGGTTTATCGTTGGAGCTAGCCTTCCTAGGGCTTGGCATAAACCGAGCCTGTTTCTCGAGTGCATAGTGAAGGAATGAATAACCAACTCAGAACTGAGGAAGGACCGAGCATTTATTGTATTAATAGGATTCTGAGGCCCGGGGCACATGGTTCAAACTCCATCAGACCCTGTGCAGTGGAAGCATGAGCTCAGGGCTTGAAGAGAGCCCGGGGGAAGTCAGGGAGCCCGGGCTGCTGTGGCGCCCTTTCTATCTGTTGCCCTCGGCTTGGTGAGAGTGACAGGCGGCACCTGAGCAGACTTGGCGCCCGGTGCCTCTCCCGGATGTTTCCCAAAGACAACTGTAACCAGCTATAACCGCTCCCCCCTTCTGTTTTCCAGATCACACACCCAGCTGGCTGCATGTCTCAGTTTATTAAGTTCTTTGGAGAACAGATCCTCATCCTCTGGAAATTTGCCTTACTTCGAAAGCGCATTTTGATATTTTCTCCTCCTCCTGTGGGCGTCGTGTGCTACAGAGGTAACTGCGAGCCAGAGCCAGCATCGGGGGCTCTTCGTACGTGCCCCAGAGCAGAGCCTGCTCCAGCTTTTTCTTTGTTGGTCAGGGTTGGAGTAGTTTGGGCGATAGAGGCCTGGGGGTTGAGCCTGGGAGTGACGTGATGGGGTCTGTATTTTAGAATGTGGACTCTGGTGGCAGTGTGGGTGACACACGGTGCCTGGTGAGAGTTGAGGGTGTGGATTAAAGCAGGTGGGTTCTGGCTGTGTTCATAGCTAGACGAGATGTGTTGTCTGATTGGTCGTAAAGGTTCTGATGCGTGTGAGGTTGTAATGGAGAAAGTCTGGGATGACGAGTTCGGTGGGGCCACCAGCGGGGTACCGCGGTGAGTAGGTGGGGTTGGCCCAGTAGGGTTGATCGGGACCTGGTGAGAGGGCCCTGCCTGTGAGATCCTTATGGCTGTCACACGCCAGGCCTCGAACCATTGGGCTCGACCTTGGAGGGAAAGTTGCTAGAGGTAGACGTAGAGTGTACGCCGCTGGTGGACAGTGCCACCTGGGGAGAGTGTGAGCGCGGAGGGTCGAGCCGTGCACAGGAGGCGGCCGAGCTGGGCAGTGAGGAGGGGAGAGGGCACCAGGTGAGGCCAAGGTTTGAAACAAGAACGACCAACAGTGTCAAATTCTAAGCCAGACCAGTGAGAGGAAGACTGCAGAGTCCGTTGCTGTTCTGCTCTGTTTTGTTGCTAGTAGCAGAAGATACTTGAGTTATGAGTGGCTTGAGAGAACAGAGGTTCATTCAGATCATAGGTTGGAGGCCCCAGGGCTGGGGGGCATCTGGTGGCCTTTCCTGTTGGCAGGGTCCCCAGATCATGCAGGGCATCACTTTGTGAGAGAGCTAGAGTGAACATGTGTGGCCATCCATGCCATGTGTCCTGGGCTCCTCCCTCTCTTTATAGACCCACCAGGAGTCAATCAAAGGGGCTGCCCCCATCAGTCATCACTCCCCAGATCCCACCATTAGATACCGTGGAGGTACTCAGTCCCCTCTTAATACTTTTAACCCAAACCTTATTTTTTTAAAAAAAAAAGATTTTTGCTAAAGGGCCCTGTGCTTGCTGGAGAGATAGAAACAGAGAGACAGAGAGTAAGGAACTACCCCCCTCCCCCAGGGGGATTGCCACCCGCAATCCCTTCCTCTGCATTCTCCTCTCGGGATCTTGGACATGCACGCACACACGCCTGGCGTGAGTTTTAAGCCACCGGGTCCAGGACTTGAACTGCGGTTGGCCATGTGAGAGTCCAGCCACATAACCATTATGCCACCTGCTGGTCCCCCTTTATACCCAAATCTTAACTCATGAATTTTGGAGGGGACTCAAACCATAGCTCTTGGGTTTGGTCACCACGCTGTTGCCGTGACCTGAGGAGATGTGCTCTGCTCTGAGACCCTGAAAGACTTGCCAGGACCCCTGGCTACGGGGACACCAGCATAGCACAGAGCAGGCCCTGCGCAGCTTCCTCGGGCTGGCTGTGGAGGTGCACAGCAGACACTGCTCCTGTCCTCTGCCCTCAGTGTACTGCTGCTGCTGCCTGGCCAACGTCTCGCTGCCCGGCATTGGGGGCACCATCCCCGAGTCCAAGCCTTTCTTCTATGTGAACGTGGCTGACATCGAGAGCCTGGAGGTAGAGGTGTCCTACGTGGCCTGTGAGTATGGGACCCACGCCCTCTCCTCCTCCCGGACCTCTGGGCTCCCCCGGGGTCAGGATGGCTCCCTGTAGGGTTCTCGCCTCCCTAACCTCGTGCTCTGCAGGCACCACAGAGAAGATCTTCGAGGAGAAGCGGGAGCTGTACGACGTCTATGTGGACAACCAGAACGTGAAGACGCACCACGACCGCCTGCAGCCGCTGCTGAAGATCAACAGTGCCGACAGGGAGAAGTACCGGCGGCTCAACGAGCAGAGGTGGGCGGGGATGGGGACACATCCCAGTGAGGGCAGCCCGGGCTGGGGTGCTCAGTAAAGCCCGTCCTGTACTCCTGCCCTTCTGGTACATTTCGGCCAGTCGCATGCTGTGGGGAGGGGTGAGGGGCAGCTGGAGACTGGGCTCCCTGTGTGTTGCCCTGATGGGAGGGTGGTGGGTGTGGGGGAAACCCAGGGAAGGGGCAGTTCCACCAGCTTCCAGGAGCTCCTGACATGCCCAGGATCTGTTTGCCTGTGTGTGCAAATGATGTTTACAACAGCCATTTATCGCGTGGAGACACTGTGTGGGTCGCCATATTAGAAATACTTACAAGAGCACACAGCTGCCATTGTCTTGATTGTCCTGCGAAACATACAGTACCAGCCATCATCCCCATTCCGTGGACAAGTGGCAAAGACTGTCATTTGCCCAGGATTATCAGGGCGGAGCTGGGGGTTTGAGTCTAAGCTTGTTCATTCCTTTCCTGTCCCTTCTCTCCTGCCTTTGGGCTGAGAGGTGGAGGCGAGAAGTCAGGGTTGGCCCTGGTGTGGTCTGTGCTGCTTCCTGGAGGTGGTGCCTGGCTGATGCCTGGCTGATGCTCGGCCTGCGACCGGGGTCCTCTCAGCTGCACTGGGACCTGATGGAGACCACCTTCCTCACAGGCAAATGCTGCTGTATTCCCAGGAGGTGGAAGAAGACTACAACCCTTGCGAAGAGGACCTGTTTGTGCTGTGAGTCAGCCTAGGGCAGCAGCTGGGGGCCTCCCTGACCGTCTGTCCGCCACTAACTCCTCCAGATGACAGGACTCTCCAGTGTCACCCAGTGTGGTCCAGGGTTGTCCTTTATTGTTGCTGAAGGCACTTCCAGCTGGGCTCACAGCAGAGGCAGCCCCCAGCCTCACAGTGCCATTAGAGAGAACCCAGAGGATGGCAGGAAGATGAGGAGGTGCGGGTCACCAGGAAAAAAGGGGAAGTCCGAGTGTGTGTGGGCATTTGCATTCAGGGTGTCCACCATGGCGAAGTCCCATCTGTCCCTCAGAACTCATGGACTTCTCACTCGTTCCTCTTTTTTTTTTTTTTTTTAAGAGAGAGATTTTTGCTATAGTGCACATGTACTTGACAGAAAGACAAAGACAGAGAGACAGAGAGCTAGGAATCACCCCCCAGGGGGATGGCCAACCACAATCCCTTCTCCTCCTTTCTCCTCTCGGGATCTTGGGCACCCATGCACACGCACCCGGCATGAGTTTTAAGCCAACTGGTCTGGGGCTCGAACCACAGTTGATTACACGAGAGTCCAGCGATGTAACGTTATGCCATATGCTGGTCCCTGCCTTTTTAAAATAGAATATTTTTTGCAGAGTATTACAAGATTTTCTGAAAACTAAACACAGCAATCCAGTGAACCCTTCCCCCAGATAGGGCTGTGGGAGGGCAGCAGCTGGCCTCACGGCACTGACATACCCTCAGAGCTGCCTAGGTGTGCTCTAGGCTATGACTGGGTCAGAACCTTCAGGCAGACACTGCCCCAGCTTCCCGTCAGTGTTCCGCCCCACAGCCGGGGCTGGAGCCCGGAATGGCCCAGCACTTGCAGTGAGAATGGCATCTGCAGACATCGGTAAAAGGGACAGCCTGTGACTGACTCACAGCGCATGTGCTGGTGCAGCCTATGAACACATCCAGGAACAGGGCAGAGCCACCGTCCCATCAGGGCTTGCACACGCCCCTGCACCTGGTGTCCCTGAGCACACAGAATTGCTTTGGGCCCTGGGCACCTTGCTGAACCCCAGGGCTCTAAGGCATAGCTTGGCTGCTCGGCCAGTGCCTCTGTACATGGCTCATTGCTGCAGATTGAAACAGTGGCTTAAGACTTGCTCCATGCATCACCCCTGTCCCTGCAAAGAGAGTTATCAGAGGAGGATGCCCACGGGTAGTGTCGGCCGTGCCAGTGTCAGGCCTGTGGCTTGCCTGCTGTCCCTGTCACCGCTGCCAGCTGTGTGGCTTCCAAATGCTCCCCCAGCCCAGCCTGTCCCAGCTCCCCGAGTTCTCCCCCCTTCTCTGTAGATAGGTCCACCTTGGATTTCCTGCAGTGGCTCAGGTTGAGCCCTGCTACTCCCTGCTGCCACCTCTGACCTATCTCGGTCTTTGAAAGTGGATTTCGCTTCTCACTGTAAGTTCTGAGCTCAGAACAGCACTATTAGATTAGTTTGTTAGTTTGTTTGTCTGTTTTTTCAACTTTTTCTTCTTCCCCTTATGAGCAAAAAGGGTGAGAAGTGGTAGGGCCTCTTTCTGAGACTGTGTTTAAACTCCTAGTAACTTCCTCCTTAGCAGGAAGATTTGGTTGGCAGTCAGGACATCGCTTGCTCAGAGCCCTCCCCAGTCAAATGGCAGTTAATGTCAAAGTGACATTAAAGGACCAGCCTGTGGTGTGGCAGATAAGGTGGTCAGATCCTTCACAGCCAACCTCGTGGTTGAGTCCCAGACCCAGCAGCTTGAAGGTCACACCTGGGGTGTGTGCGTGTATATGTGTGTGCGCATGTGCATGTGTATATGTGTGTGCATGTGCATATGTGTGTACGTGCATGCCCAAAGTCCCAAAATGAGGGAGAGATGGAGGAGAAAGGATTGCAATGTAACTTCCTCATGGGGGGTGATTTGTCACCACTCCTCTCTGGCAAATCACCACCGCCCCTCCTCCAAAAAAAAAAAGACATGACAGTAGCATTTGAATAACTTTAAGTATACTTTGTTTTCTTCTTTTAAAAGATACCTTTGAAAGCATTTAAAAGTATACTAAACAAACAGTGTAGTTTGGTTCCCAGGTGTGGACATCTGGTGAGCCTCTGTCTTTCCTCCCTCCCTTTCCCGTGTCTTGTCTTGCAAATACAGGTTTTTCCTGGAGCAAAACAACCGGATATTTCAGACTTTGTTGGAGGTGTCGGCCAGCCAAGACAAAACCCTCACAGCAGAGCACGCCCGGGGCATGGGCCTGGACCCCCAGGGAGACCGGAGCTTTCTTGTGGACCTGCTGGAGGCCTATGGCATCGATGTCATGCTGGTCATTGACAACCCCTGTTGCCCGTAGAAGGGCGATGCAGGATTGGGGAAGCACTTTCACGTGGGGGAAGGCAGCCTAGATCACCCCAGGCCTCCATAGGGCCTCGCTTTTAAAGAAGTTGACCTGAGGAATATTGTTTGTACTTTCCAACAAATGTGATTTTTGCAATTTCCTTCCCTCCCTTTTTCCCTGGAGGTAAAGTGAGGTTGCCTTGGTTCTGTGTCCTGCTTCGGTAAGACACTGGAATCTGCCACTTTTCTCCCAGAGCTGCTTGCTCTTGGGGTCTGGTCTTAGGAGTTTGATCTTAGGAATGGGTTGCGCCCTAGAGACAGGCTTGGATAGCCGGCTCGGAAAGGCTGTGGTGCGTATCCCCGGTGTGTTCAGTTCCACAGCCGTCTGCCCAGCGCAGCCTCAGGTGTCCACCTGCCTAAAGGTGGAGATAGACCCGATGACCTCTCCAGGTCTTTACCAGTTCTAGGAGTCAGTTTCCTTGGGATCAATTCCCGTTTCCTTTTCACGAGGTAGGTTTTCTCTGTTCACTTGAGTAAGGACCAAGAGGGACAAAAGGATGTGTCTGAAGGACCAGTCAGCTGCAGACTGACACTGCAGAGGGAAGCCCTGGAACTTCTCTGCAAGCACGTTAATGGTGTGGACTTCCACACTAGTCCTCGTCCTCGAGCCCCTCCTCTTGGGTTGGGCCTGCACATTCCTTGGCCAGTGCTGACCCTGGTGTTCGCAAACTCATTTTACAGTGGAGTCTCCGAAGGGCTAACCATCCTCTTAGGGTAAAATGCGTTGCCACCTAAGGGTTGAGAGGGTGAAGTTCAAGCAGGATAGAGCAGATGCTGTAAATTCTCCCCTCGGATGAGAGTTCCTCAAGGCATTACTGGCAGTGTCTCAGGGTTCAGGTGCACTGAGCTGATTGGCTCAGAGCTTGGAGCATGGTGTTAACAAGGCTGTTGTCAGTTTGGAGTTTTCACAGACTTCTTGTTAGCAGAGATGACATTCCTTAGCTGACAAAATGAGTCCAGAAACCTGACAAGTTTGTGAGAATGAAAGTTTAGCAGTGCCTCTCTGCCAGGATGGTGGGCTGTCAGAAATGCCAATGTCAGAAACCACTTCAGCTGCTTTCCTACTGCAGCATTTGGTCTGGGTGGATCCTGTTCTCCCTGCTGGGCCATTGGATGGGGCAGCTTAGGTGAGACAGCAGTCGTCGGCCATGATCAGAAAGCCCACACTCAGTAGAGTGTAGGTCATCTTGGCCATAGTTGAAGATTTTTGACTCAACATACTGAGTCGTTAATGACTAAGAATTCCTTCCCTTTCACCCTTCCTGCCCTGCTGACCCAGGCCCACCCAGGCTAATGTAGACTGCAGAGAGGTATCAGCTTCAAATGGATTGTCCCATGTCTTATCTCAAGACTCAGCTCTTAGGGCTTACTGATTTCTTCAGAAGTATTTTCACTGTGGTTCCTTGATATGGAATTCAAGACCGAAGAAATTCACATGTGTGGAAATGCAAACAGATACTGTTTTATCAAGGTGGTATCTTTTATGTAAATATATAAATAAGTTTGGGCATTGAAACGTAAGTAGTATGACTAATACATCTTCCTCCTCTGTGGTCTGGGTTTAGGCATTGTTTCAGTAATGTACTTGTTTACAAAAGAAAAAAATCTGTGTTTAGAGGCAGAACCTTCACCTTTGTTTCCCCTTTATGAGTAACCTTTTCCTCCCGCCTCTCATGAACTAAGGGAGACTTTCTGTCTTGGGTCAAGTAATGGCTACTTTTGATGTATCTTAAGGTTTAGGGTTTTCTGAATTGAAGAAGAGTGATTAGAGGGAGGTGTAGAGGGCCGTAGAAGAGGCTCGATTCTCCTGGAGGACAAAGGCAAACCCTCTTTCTCTGGAATTGGAGGATTCACACTTTGAGCATATTGGCTCTGGAACCATCTACTTGTGAATACTTCCATTTCTCCTGTGCTGTTTGAACTCCAGGCTCAGAAGTGCTGATGTAAAGGTCACAGGATGAGAATGAGGTTCCCCATATTTTCCTTTGAAGGGTGATTCAGGGCTTCTGGTTCCTTGTAACCACGTGTCATTCTAGGTAGCTGTCTGTCTGGCCTGTGTCCCTGCTCCTGCTCATGCAGAGGGCCAGGGTATGGCTGGCCCTGAAGGGAAACTATACCACTAGGCAGTGCATGGTCCCTGGCAAGCAGAAATTCTCTATTTAAGAGGGAACCCGAGGATCAGTCCTTCTTCCCTGTCTGCCAGCTTCCTCACAGGGCCAGGCTCCAGCACAGAGCCTCTGGGAGCTGAGCAGGGTGGGTCAGCTCCTCAGTCACTTTTGGTGATGTCAGTTGTCCTCAGCGTGGGCCTTGTCTGGTCCTCATGAAAGCCTGCGTCATAGTGCTTGCTCCTTCACGTGAGAAGTGAGCGTGTACCACCAACACCATTGCTGCCATCCTGTGAGGGCAACTAATATGTAAAGTTCCAGGCCGGAGTCCCTCAACAGTGACAGCAGAAGCCTGTGTACACCTGCTTTCTGTCACTCTTGAAATATTTTCTGAGAAACCATCCATTTTTGTTCAGAAGAAGGTGGTGAAAAACTCTCTGCCAGCCTGTCTGCTGTTGGCATCACTGGTCCCCTGCCTAAGGTGGCAGAGTCCTGAGGAGCTTTATGGCTGACCTTGTGCCACACTGTGAACCATGCCCTAGCTTGGAAGTACTCTCCAATCTGTGATGCTGGGGCTGCCCCATCCTTCCTGGAAGATCCCCTGTGGAGACTAGGATACAGGCTTGGGGTTTGGTGGTATCCGTGTAAAACTGACAAAGGCCTCAGCAGATACAGTAATATTCAGCCTTCAGGAAAATGTCCAGTTGTCACCTGGCTAAAGACTCTTTTTCTATAAAATATCAGAAATAATAGGGTTTTTCTCCTGCCAGACTAGGAAGTATTGGCTAGACCGTTGCTTTAGAACAAGCTCTGGCTTGCGTGAAGCATTCCCTGTCCTTCCAGGATCAGTGTCTGGTCTGGAGCCTTTGGTCCTCAGTAGATTATGGAGTGAGTGGGAAGCTTTTGCCTCCCAAGTCTATCATCCATTTTGGCATTTCTTCATCTATCTGTCTGGGGGGGCGGGGGGTAAGGAGGCTGAATTCCTTGATGTATCAGTAGAAATAATTTAGCATAGGAATTTGCATCTGTATCTTACTTTATTTCGTTGCACGTGAAGACCAAGTTGAGAAAGTGAGGAGTGACCATAGGTACAGATAATTCCAGATGCCATATGCAAAAACTCACTTATCATGGAACTACCTATGATATTTTAGCTAAAAGATAAGATAAATTACATTACGACTAAATCATTGTTTTCCATTCTGGCAGCTATGAAGATGAAATTGCTTTTTATTTTGATTCAGTGAAAGCCCTTCAAACACAATAAAAAGAAAATTATTCACCTTCCATCGGAGGCCTGCAGGGAGCCTTTTGTAAAGGGCAGTATGAATGAACCTTTTTGTGGTAGGGTATCAGCCTTCCAAGAAAAGGCAGAGACTTCAGGGCCCACTTTTTTCCCTTTGTGTAGCCCAAGGAGTGGATTGAGATGTTTTCTCTGGTCCCAGTGGATGTCATCCTTGGAGAGGTAAAGGCAGGAGCAAAGGGTATGGATGATAAAATTTTAAGATAACGCTCAGCTTAATATCATGTGAGCTTGGCTTAGCATAGTGACAGTTCTAAAATGGGCAAGAAAATGAATATGGGGACCAACATGCCATGCTTGGGCTTTCATCTCCATATTAGGTCCCAGCTCGTGGGCTTGGGACCTAGAACACCCAGCCCTCTGTCTTATCTTCTCCACTGCACCTGGTAGTTAACCCCCGAGGTGAGAGTCTGCAGAGCCAAAGGCTCACCTCCCCTTGGCAGGCCCAGTCCTGTTCCTTCTCATTTCAGGAAAGCCCGTTTATGATTCAGGTAGGGGGGGAGGAGGAGTTGGGGCTCCTTTTACTCCCAAGTCATGGGTTTTTAATGTCCCATTTTTATTGCTAATATACCTCTGTTTCCAGAAGCTACTGGAGCACTGAGTGTTGTGGAAAAAGGCTAACTGTGAATTACATTCATGTTTTTCTTATAAGAAATGGGAGTTTATTTTTATATCCATATTATTATGTGATGAAGCGAGTATAAAGACATTGAAGTGGAAGGAAATTACAAACTATAATCCTAGAGGAAATGGGAAGTATTGTAATTTCACAGTGGCCACGACCCCATAGAAGTTTACTAACTGAGGTTTTGGCGCATGAACGACACTCTTTAGGAGATAAACTTGACGGGATGACATAGAAATAACCTTAAGTAGACCTCTAGAACAAAAGAGGATACGCAGGATCATTCTGCTTGTCGGGCCTCTTAGTCAACTAGAGAGCATGGGGAGAGGGGAGATAGTTGGATGATGCACTTTAATTCATTTTTGGAACTGGAATTTAGGGGTAGTTGGAAGAAATTACAAATTTAAAAAGGGAGTAAGAATTTTCTAGTGCTGCACAGATAATGATCATAGAGAAATAAAACCCTGCTTTCACCTTTTTTTAGAGTTTATTCTAGAATTTTACCATAGCAGGGGTTTTTAGAGCTAATAGACCCTAAAGTCAGAAATTTAGTCACTATGATAGGATAGGTGCGCGTTGCTTTTGTTTGAATAAATTTACTTTGCTTCCTAATGACGGTAGGGGAATGTGGGAGTAAGGTAGGGTGGGATAAAGTAGCCAGAGGTGGTCCCCAAAACAAAAAACACGCGGGCACTTGAGTTAGCTGGTTGCAAATATGCTTATTTGACATTAGAGTGACAACTCCTTCCTTTGGGTAGATTAAGCAAAGATGAACTGTGTAAAAATTGTTTGAAGGTGGCATGAAGAGGAAAGAGTGTGGGCCTAGCAGTCTATGGAGACTGTGCTTCTGAGCAGCCTGGGTGGGTGACCACAGGTAGATGAGAGGGCGGAAAACGAACTCCCTTTATTTACCCAAAGCTAGGTATAGGTCTGGGAAAGAAACCTTTTCCTAAAAAAGAAATAGTTACAGCCTTGGAAAAACTGTTTTCTTGTTTTATCCAGGTTAGGGTCAGTATAGCCTGCCTGTCGCCTTAAGTGTAAAAACCCTTATTTTGATTAATGCCCCAGCATAAGAGTTATAGCAATAAGAGAAACTGAATCTATTTTTGTTTCAAGTCTTTACCTCATACTACAAAGTTAGTAAGACATTCGTAAATATTGCCCTAACTACTACCGCATACAGGTATGTTCTCTCTCTCTCTGTTTGCAACGGTGATCATTTTAAAGGCCTAAAGAAAGCTGGGGTTAATCCTGAAGCGAAGAGTAAATGTTTCTTGAATTTATTTTGTTCTGTGGTACAAGTAACATCTATGTATATCATATCTGTATATATCTGGACCAAGTTGTGTGCAGAGAGGTTAATATAACTATATTTACAGAAAATGATTTTTACAATTAAAGTTCACATTTTAACATGAACATGTGTGCCATGATCCTTTACCTGGTACGAGAGATGTGGGTTGTGGCAGGAAAGAATGAGGGCCAGCCCATAGGCACAGCCCACCGGGGCTGACGCTGACTTCACTTGTAGTGATGGTGGAGATCGGGGAGCACACCTGTCCTTCTAGAGACTGCGGTCTGGAGAAACATTCCCCAGGTAATGAAAAACAAACTGGGGCACCAGCAGATGGTGTAATGGTTACGTAGCTGGACTCCGTGGTTTGAGTTCAGGACCTGGCAATGTAAATTCATGCCAGACGTATGTGTGTGTGTGTGAGAGAGAGAGAAATCCCAAGAGGAGAATGGAGGGGAACGGATTGCGTCATGGCCACCCCCCAGGGGGGTAATTTCTCACTTTCTGTCTCTTTCTGGTGAGTGCATGTGCCCTATAGCAAAAATCTCTCAAAAAACAAAAACAAAGGAACCAGTAGTTAGCGTAATGGCTATGTCGCTGAACTCCCACGTAGTTGACCGAGGTTCGTGTCTCGAACCCGGTGGCTTAAAACTCACGCCGGGTGCGTGTGCGTATGTGCCTTAGATCCCAAGAGGAGAATGGAGGAGAAGGGGTTGCGGCGTGACCATCCCCTCTAGGGGGTGATTTCTCGCTTTCTGTCTCTATGTCTCTCTCTATCTGGCGAGCGCACGCGCCCTATAGTGAAAATCTCTCCAAAAAAAAAAGGAGAATAACTACACTACAAGGCATAGAGGAGCCAGGGCTGTGCACCCTCCAGCACATTAGAAAAGTTCTAGAAGCCCATAGACATCAAAGTCCTTTTATTTCACAGAATCTCTTCTTATCAAAGTTTAGCTTACACGTCAAGTATTGGTGTATGTGTACGTATCACGTGTCCCTTAACGAGGTGGATACATTCTGAGAGATGCGTCATTAGCCGATATCATTGTGCAGACATCAGTGAGTGTGTTTATACAAACCTGGTGTAGTCTATGGTGCATGTTAAAGGACTAAATACCATAGGCACTGGTGACACAGTGCTAAGTATTTGTATATCTAAACGTTTCTAAACTTACAAAAGATAACAGTAAAATGGTCAAAAGATTTTAAAATGGTATACCAGTTTTTATAGAGCACTTGCCATTAATGGAGCTTATGGGACTGGAACCTCTCTGAAGTCATGAATAAGTAGTAAGTGAATGCGAAAGCCTAGTGTGTGACTATACACTACTGCAGACTTCATAAATACTGTGCAATTAGGCTACATCAATTTATGGAAATTGTTTCTCTTTAATAATGAATTAACCCTAGCTACCTGTTAACTTTGTTCCTTTATAAACTAACATGTGGTACAGCTATACAAGAACCTTGGTCCTTTGGTTTCCTCCCTTCCATTTCCTCCCCTTTTCTCTTGTCTTCCTTCCCTTCTGTCTTGCCTTGTCTTGCTGTGTTGCCATCCTCTTGCCTCCGCTTTCTGAGTGTCTGGGATTACAGACCAGCACACAGAGCTTTTAGGTTGAACTGGGAGCCACACCCGGGTCTCCCATGTGGTCCAAGCCTGCAGACCACAGCATCTTAGCCAGGCATGCCACTGTAGCTGACCCATTTTCTTTCTTTATATCCTTATTCTGTAAGCTTTTTTCTAGTGTACAACTTCCTTAATAGTTATTTTCTTTTTTAAGCTTTGTTAGAAAACTGAGACATGAACATTAGGCTAGGCCTTCACAGGGTCAGGATCATTGCTATTATTGTGTTCCACCTCCGTATCTTGTCCTACGAGAAGGTCTTCAGGAGCAGTCCCTGGAGCTGTCATCTCCTTGGATAACAATGCCTGCTTCTGGAACACCTGGAGGCCTGCTCGAGGCTTGTCTTGACATGTCACTCTTTTCAGAAATGTGTCCATGATGGGTGGTTACCTTGGTTTATTTATTTTTACCATAGATTTGCTTGTAAACAGATAATACACCATGAACATTCCACTATTAATGAAAACCTTTCAAGTGTTGGGGTTCATGTTTTTAAACCTTTTAAGGAGCTTGATGAGAACTGCAAAAGCTTCTGCTCAGTTTTTTTCCTTCCTTCTTTTGCTAGAGGAAACACGTACTTGTCGGAGGGAGAGGGAGAAACCAAACCCGCCTCCCTCCACCCTCCCCATTGAGTATGATGCAAGCTATGGGTTTGTCATATATGGATTCTATTGTGTTGAAAAATATTCTTTCTATACCAATTTTACCGAGTCTTAATCATGAAGGAGTGTTGTATTTTATCAATTGCTTTTTCTGCATTGGTTGATACGACCATATGGGTTTATCTTTCCTCTGTTAATTTTATATATTGCATTTATTATTGTGCATATGTTGAACCACTCTTGCTTCTCTGGGATAAAGCCTTCCTGGTCCTGGTGTATAATCTTTTTAATGTGTTGCTGGATATGATTTCTGGTATCTTGCTGAGGATTGTGCATCTGTATTCATCAGGGATATTGGTTTATAGTTTTCTTTTTTGTTGTGTCCTTGTCTGGTTTGAGGATCAGGATGATGGAGGCTTTATAGGATGAGTGTGGGAGGGTTTATCCTTTTGGATCTTTATAGTTGAAGTACATTGGGTTTACGCTTTAAAAGTTTTGTAGAATTCAGAAGTAAAGCCAGTGGGACTTGGGCTTTTCGTTGTTGGAAGACTATTACTGATTCAATCTCATTGCTTGTTATTTGTCTATTCATGCTTTCTGTTTCTTCCTGGTTCAATTTAGGCAAATCATATGTATCCAGAAATTTGTCCATATCAACTAGGATTTTGTTAGTGTACAGTTGTTCATAGTACTCTCATGATCTTTTGTATTTCTGTTGTATCTGTTGTAATATTGCTTGTTCCATTGCTAGCTTTATTTATCTGGTTCTGTGCTATGTTCTTCTTGATAAGTCTAGCTAACAGAGTGTCAATTTTGTTTATCCTCTCAACCAGCTTCTGGTTTCATTTATCTTCTGTATAGTCCTTTTATTCTCTATTTCATTTATTTTTGCTCTAATCTTTATTTTTTCCTCTGGTATTTCTGGGGATTTTTTGTTGTGGTTGTTTTTCCAGTTCCTTTAGATGTATTGTTAGGTTGTTTATTTGCTATCCTTCTATTTTTTTCTTGTGAGCACTAATTATATGAACTTCCTTCTCATGACTGTTTTTATGGCATCCTCTAGGTTTTGGAGACGTGTATGTGCTATTATTAGTTTTGCCAAATCTTTTTATTTCAGTTTTAATTTCTTTGGTAGTTGTGAAGTCATTCAGGAGTAGGTTATTTTGTTTCCATGTATTTGTGTGTTTTCAAGGGTGTGTTTTTTTATTTGTTTTGTTTTTTTGAGAGGTTTTTGCTATAGGGCGCGTGCACTTGCCAGAAAGAGAGAGACAGAGAGACAGAAAGCGAGAAATCACACACACACACACCCCGGGGGGGGGGATGGTCACGCCGCAATCCCTTCTCCTCCATTCTCCTCTCGGGATCTTGGGCACACACGCACACATGCCTGGCATGAGTTTAAGCCACTGGGTCCAGGACTAGAACCATGGTCGACTACATGGGAGTCCAGCGACATAGCCATTACCCTAACTGCTGATCCCTTCAAGGGTGGTTTCTATAGTTTATTTCAAACTTAATTCCATTGTGGTAAAAAAAAAAGATGCTGTATATAGTTTCTATACTTTTGAATTTGTGAAGACTAGGGGGTTGTTGAAATTAGTGTGTTACAGTCTCTCCTTTTTGATCTGTCTTTCACATATTTGGGTCCTCCAGTGTTGGGTGTATAAATGTTTAAAAGTGTTGGGAACCAGCAGTTAGTGTAATGGCTATGTCGCTGGACTCCCACGTAGTCGACTGCGGTTCGCGTCCTGGACCCGGTGGCTTAAAACTCATGCTGGGCACGTGTGCGTGCGTGCCCAAGATCCCGAGAGGAGAATGGAGGAGAAGGGATTGTGGTGTGACCATCCCCCCTGGGGAGTGATTTCTTGCTTTCTGTCTCTCTGTCTCTCTGTCTGGTGAGCGCACGCGCCCTATAGTAAAAAACCTCTCCAAAAAAAAAAAAAAAAAGGGTTATATCTTCTTGGTGAATTAGTCCTTTTAGTATTACATAGTGTCCTTTTTTGTCTTTTTTTTTTTTTTCTAGAAGTTTTTGCTATAGGGCATGTGCACTTGCCAGAGAGAAAGAGAGACTGAGAGGGAAAGTGAGATGGGGGGATGGCCGGCTGTAGTCCTTTCTCCTAAAATCTTGGGCATACACACGTGCCTGGCATAATTTTCAAGTCACTGAGTCTGGGACTTGAACTGCCATTGGTCATATGAGAGTCCAACATAACCGCTGTGACACCTGCTGGCACCACTTTGTTTCTTCTTTTGCCTTACGGTCTATTTTTTCTGTTATTAGTAATTCCAGCCTTTTTTATGGTTCCTATTTGCAAGTAATATCTTTTTTCCAGCCCTTCACTTTTAGCCTATGTACATCTTTATCAGTGAGGTGTATTTCTTTTAAGCAGCAGATAGAGTGTTCTTGGTTTTTTAGCCATTCAGCCAGTCTGTATTGTTTAATTGAAGAATTAACATTCAGAGATATTGATATTTGTGGACTTATCCCTGCCATTTTGTTAGTCATTTTCTTTTTGGTTTGTGTTCTCATATTTCTGTTTGTCTCTAACTTTCCTGAAACATTATTCCCTTCAATACTTCTTGAAGAACTGGTCTAGTGTTGGTAAGTTCTTTCTGTTTGATTTTTAGTTTAATGGTCCAGCAGGGTGGTATAGTGATTAAGGCAGCTGGATCCTGCATAGCTGACCATGCAGTTCAAGTCCTGGACCCAGTGGCTTAATAAACTTGCAGGGGGAGAGGAGTTGCTTTCTCACTTTCTCTCTCTTGAGTGCACACACCTTATAGGAAATTTCAGCAAACTGAAAACCAAAACTGAAAGTTTATGTTTTGAAGTAAAATTTTATTTATTCTTTCCATTTGAAGGATAATCTTGCTGGGTATATTATTCTTGGTTGAACTGTTTTTCTTTTATTGTTTTTAATATGTTTTTGCATTCTTTCCTTGCCTGCATTTTTAGCTGAGAGGTCTGATGTAAGCCTAATACGATAACCATTATAAGTAACTTGACTTTTCTCTTGCCATTTTTAGAGTCTTGACTTTGTCTTTGATTTTTACCAGTCTAACTGTGATATACTATGGGGAAGATCTTCTTATGTTGATTTTATTTGCTGTTCTTTGTATTTCCTGGATCTGAATGTTTGTAGATTTCTCTAAATTTGGCAAGTTTTCAGGTAGTAGTTCATAAAAGAGGTTTTCTATACTGTTAACAGCCTCTTCGCCTTTGGAATACTTTAGATATAGCTATTTGAGTGTTTAATGGTGTCAAGTATTTCCTGTATGCTATCCTCTCTCTGTCCCCTCCCCCTTTTTTGGTGGTTTGAATGAAGCTTTGTCTTTAGGTCAGAGATTCTTTATTCTGCATGGTCCAATCTGCTATTAATACTTTTAAGAGAGATTTTTATTTCTTATATTCATCTCCAAAAGTTCTGTTGATTCTTTTTTAGGGTGTCTAACCCTTTATGGAATCCTTTACTCAAGTTGTGAGATGATTTTCTCATCTCCTGGAATTGGGTTTCCATTTGCTCTTGCATCTCATTGAGCTTTTATAATAAATTTTCTGAATTCTGTGTCATTTTCTGCAATTTCTTATGTTTTATTCAATATTGATGAGGAGGAGTTACTGTGTTCTTTTTCCTGGCTTCCTCATATTTCTTGAAGTTCTGCTTTCTTTTAGACATCTGGTGAAGTACTTAATTTTTGCAGTAGGTTTCTATAGCTGTGTGCTTGTGTATGTCTCTGTGGTGCTGTTTAGCTCTGCACCAGTTTCCTCTTATTTCCGAATCTGTCTAGCTGATGCAGCTGGGCACTGAGTTGGGGAGGCAGTACGTAAGTTAATAGACTAAGTCACATGTTGCACAGGCCAGATGATCGCCTTTACTTCCTGGCTCTGGGACCACCTGACGGCAAGGCATTGATCTGGGCAGGCAGGAGACCCAGGTCCCTTACTTCCTCCAGAAGTTGTGCAGGCCAAGTAACCCCTGTTCCTTCCTGACTCTGGATCCAGCAGTGAGTAAAATTCTTAACATAGATTAATATCCTTCTCTAATCATTTGGACCATTAATAATTAGGATCACTAGATTAAAACACATAACTGATCATCTTTCAAGAAAAAAGAAAGCTAGATTCGATACTCCTTTACACTATCATAGAACCATAATATGCTGTGTTTTCTGCTCATGTAGAAATGCTTACTGTCTTAAACCACAGCATCCTCTCTCCCCTCTATGGGTAGACCCTTACACTGATGTTTGCATCCACCTCCCTTTTTTAATTGCTAAAAGCAGAGCTTTCAACACCACCCTGAAGGATACAATGCTAAATAAGCTTTATTTCCTGTGATCACCATTCCTGGGCTTTTTGTAGCTGCTATGTCATCATCAATTAAAGCACTTGTCTTTGTTCTCTACAGGATGTATGGGTGTGGTCTGTGTACTCAGTCTAAAAATTGATCTGCCAGAGAAGGAGGTAGGCCTGCCAGCTCTGCTTCCTCTCTTCCCCCTTTGGTTTTCCTTCTTCCTTCTACAAAATGAAAGATGTCGATTGCATCCATCTTACTATGGTGCACTGCCCTCTAGATTATAAGGATCTCAGGGGTACCAAACAAAGGGGAATGTGAGTGGTAAGGTAAAGCAAATAAATGCTGCTAATGTCTGGAAAACAAATCCTTAGCAAATCAGGTGGTTTTTAGTACTCTGCTTTCAACAAAGTAAAGGACTAACCACCTTATCAAGTCAGTAGCTGATAGGTTACTAATAATTTTTTATGAGAGAGCACTGTGATGTAACTTAAAAGGAATTCAAAGACTGCATGACATTGTTATAATTCTTTCTATCCCCATCTGCTTAGTTAGGTGTTTACATCTATAAAAAAAATAAAATAGGAATATAAGTGGTTGAATCCTGTCTCACCTATAAATGAAATTTATGCATTTTTGGATAAATGAACTAATTAGGATAAAGAATATCCTAATGCTAATTTTTAACCATCAAAATATTATATCTCAATAATTATACTATTGGTTTTGTATGGGGTTAATAAGACAAGCCCCCCAAAATTATTTTCATTTATTTATATCTTTTGTTGATGAGAAGATGGTGGGATGATAACAAAAATGTCAAACATAAACATAGATTACATTATAAGATTATTTGCTGAAAGTGGCATGGAAATGCATAGGAGAAAAATAATGTTAACTTTCAACTAATGAACTAGCTCGTTTATTTTACAAGTCAATGAGGGATGTCATCTCTTCAATATTTCAATTATACTGGCTATGTTTAGAAGAGTGATGTCATAGTTTTTCTTTTAAAATATCAATATTTACATGACACCAGAAAGCACACACACTGACAACTATTTACTTCCCACCAAAAATTTTAGATGTCAACTTAGATGTGTCGTGATTTTTTAAAATACTTTTAGGGGGAACATGAACTGAATTGGTTGTGAAACAATGCTTGAAAACACTTTCTCCAAGTAAGGTTGAGGGACCACTCACCTGGGAGGGTGAGTTTTAAAATGCAGATAGTTGAACATTGGAATTTGAGGTTTGGGGTGGGCCCCAAGTAAGCCAACTTTCAACATGTACGATGGTTCTCATGAAAGCAACATTTAAGAAGTATTACTCTAAAAAAAAAAGAAAACAAAAACTAGCTTTTTACAGTATGTTAGCCATAGCAGAAGAGGGAAATCCCTCATGTTTTTTATTGGAGGGCAGAACTGAAACTCACATGGTTGAGTTGGGCAACTCATGGATAAGTTTAGAAACAGGAGCAGGTAGCTAGGGAAGGCAAACTCTTCCCCTGGAATTCATAGTACGGGTAAAGACATGAAAGGAATGGAGGAGTTTAGTCTATAGATCCTGCTCTCCACTGGGGTTTCAACTTTTGAGAGAGAAAGTTCTAGCCCTTTCCCATCAAATGTGAGAACTTCCTTGAACAAGCTGAGGAAAAACAATAGGAGGAATTAACTGCCACGCCAAAATAAAAGCATGCACTCAGGGAAAGCTGGCTGCACAGTAGTTGGCAGAGTACACTCTGGGAAGCACTGAGGGTACACTGAGAGCAGAGGGTACCTGCCATGAAAATGCCCTGGGGTCCTCCATCAACACTGGCGGGCAGCTGAGGCCTCTGTTCCCTTTTGGTCCTACTGGTGGCCTAAAGTGTGGTCTCGGAGCACCCATCTTCAGCCCGCTCACTGAGCTGTGCTCTGCAGCAGCTGCTCTCTCTTCCTGGGATCACAGAAGAACTGCAGTTTCCTGGGGAGCAGTTTCACCTCCACGGGCATCGCCTCATACTCCTCACTGTCAATGCCAAAAGAGCCCCCTGTTCCCTGTGGAGAAGAAAACATTCAGCACAGCTCATGCCCCCTCAGTGTAGGAAGCCTGTCACCATGACATCGTCTTAGCTGAGGCCTTGTCCCAATGTCTTTACAACAATACTCCCAGACCTGCTATGATGGCACAGTGGTGGCTCTGGAAACATCCCAATTTTCACCAATCCATGAAAAAGGAATTACATTTTTTTTTTTAAACTCTGTTACTTACCAGAGTATTTTGGGATTTGAACAACAGTTATAATTTTCAAATACATATATTAAAAGACATCTTTAAGGAATTCATAAACATACAATATAGTTCTTCTTGGCCTTAATCTTTCTCAAATGAAAAGTGAAAAAGACAACTAGTTATCTTATGAAAGCTGTTATATCCACTGGTCATTTTCATTATTCTTGTCCTAAGACTGCTCTATACCTAAGATATACCAATATCACTGTAATTAGTTAGTCCGTGAAATCCTTCCATAACTCATGCATGTAACTCAGTGTTGCTGTGTAGAAACTGTGGTGCCAGTTACCCTGGGGATACGTCTGTCCGACACATTCCTGTTGAATAATACAGTGGTATCAAGGCCACGGGTCTTCAGAGGCTTCTGTACTAACCCCCCCTTTTTTTTCCTGCAGTATTACTGATAACCTTACAATTCAGATTATATTTCCTATTTTTTCCACTCATATATGTTATTCTAAGTGTGGCATTTCACAATACAGAAAGGTTCAGTGTTGATCTGAAAACTATTTCTAGATCCTTTATTAAAAATGTTAAAAGTATGGGACCAGCAGATGGCGTAATGGTTACATTGTTAGACTCCCATGTTGTTGACTACAGTTCAAGTCCTGGACCTAGCAACTTAAAACTCACACCGGGCACATGTGCATGCATGCCCAAAATCCTGAGAGGAGAATGAAGAAGGGACTGCAGTATGGCCATCTTCCCTGAGGGGTGATTTCTCACTTTGTCTCTCTCTGTCTCTCCAGCAAGCACATGTGCCCTACGGTAAAAAATTTCTAAAAAAAATGTTAAAGTAGGGCCTGGCTGTGGTTGTACACACGTAGCATTCCTTAGGAAACGAAGTTGCGTGGGAGGCCCAGTTCCTGGGCCAACCTGAACACAGTAGGCATACATGTGCCTGTAATCCTAGCTAATTGGGAGGCTGCACAGGAAAATATCAGCACAGCAAGGCCCTATCACCTATGCCTATCTTTTTTTTTTTTTTTTGGAGTCGGGATCTTGGGCATGCACGCACACACGCCCAGCATGAGTTTAAGCCACCGGGTCCAGGACTTGAACCATGGTTGACTACGTGGGAGTCCAGCGACATAGCCATTATGTCAACTGCTGGTCCCACCTATGCCTATCTTTGTCTCTCTCCTTTCTCTCTTGTTTCTCACAAAGGGGAAAAAAAAAGTTAAAGTAAGTCACACTATTAACACTTGCAAGCTAGGGAATTCTCTGTGCACTATAATGCAGTGACTTTTTGCATTATTTACATATGGAAAAACAAAAGCTCAGGAGTCTTAAAGATCACTTTCTGAAGGACTTTGGCTTGACAACACTTGCAGTCCTTAGGAGTCCAGTTCTAAACCTGTAACTCAAAAGGGGTGTCTGCCACCCTTCTCTGGTCTTCCTGAACAAAATGATCCAGAGCCCAGCAAAGTGCTGGGCACCTCAGAGGTGCCCACATGTTGGTCACTGAACAGAGAGGAAGGAGGGGGGAAAGCAGAAATGAAGACAAACCGAGAGAACTGAAAGCCATGGGACCGCTGACACCTGCTCCCCTCCACTTACCTCGGGCAGACGCAGCACGCACCAGCTGGCCTGGAGACACTCGGTGCCGTCAGCACGCAGCTTGGGGTCTCTCACCTTTTTACTGCTGTGGGGACCGAAACAAGAAAGCTTGGAAACCAGCAATGGCAACTGCGTCAGACTGCAAAAACCGAGCAAGTTCTCTCCCTCTTTTTGAGGTTAAATAGACAGATGGTCTGTTAAGCCCAGGGGTTCTGGGAATAACGTTCCCCACAGCTGTACCTGCTTAGTTCTACGGTGCACTCCAGATTGAGAAGGCGTACTTCTCTCGCACAGAACTGTGGCAAGCTAACACTCAGGAACGTTTTCTGAATTGGTTTTTATGTAAATTGCTCCATATGTACCTAATTCCTAGGCAGTTCACCTTAAATTTAAACTTTTGAATTAAATTCTTTAGAAAATGTATTAAACTTCTGTTATTTGGTACTTCTTGTGATTCTTCATTATTCAAGGGGGAATTTTGATTCTATCTTAAGTAGACATTTCTTTTATGTGGATTAAAAACCTAGTTTTAGAAGACTACATGCAGTCTTCTAAATATAGATGACTCCCTATATTCATACTAACAGCCTGCTTAGCATACTGTATCCTACCTTGGTTAAACAGCTTTGGAGGAAAACTCCCAGACACATCCAGACACACACACCACCTCACGCACAGATACCCTTCATAGCTGGTCATGGTACATAGAAAAAGCGTAAAATCTAATTTAAGTGACTTAGTTCATTATTTATCATTAACAACAGTAATTCTTTAGTGCAGACATTGCTGCCAGAGTTTTTGAAAGCAGCTTCGCAGTGTCCTTTCCAGATACACGGAGAAAACAGACGTCCTATGGGGACCAGAAGGGAACTGTGCTATTTCTACTAACGAGATGTGGAATCACTTCAACAATGGAATTAGGTTTTCGATTTTTGGATGTCTGTATTCTAAAGGTGATTTGAATACAGCTGGTCCCACTGGCCAGATGCCCGATTTAAGATCTTGTGTGCTTTCTGGACACTGTTGGGGCAGGGACAGGCTCTCCCCCTTCCTCCCTTTACTACAGATACAGCCATTAAATACAGAATCAAGCTATTCAGCATCTGAAGCATTTGTACCAAAGGCAAGAACTCCACAAACAAGTGAAAGCCTTCTGCCACCGTGCTGGAGTAGATAACGAAGTAACCATGGAGACCCGGCTCTGCCACAGCAACGGCTAATCCCAAAATGGGCACGAGAGGGAGCTCTGAGACAAAGCACAGGGACGGGAGCTGGGAAGATAACCAGCTGGCATGGGAACAGGCAGGCTTCTCCGAGGCTTGCAGCCTGGTGGAGGGTTTACAGTACTCTCAACCAGTAAGATTCTGGCAGAGGCGAGCCTTAACAAATCGGGATTTGGACAGGTATTTTATATTACAATAGAAAAGGGAAAAAGCCTGGGAAATGTCCAAGGTACTCAATACCGTCCCAAGTTTTTCACTCACATCCTAGGACTAGGAGGACAAGATAACCTGACGTGAACAGTAATGGATACTGTGAAATGCTTCGCAATATAAAAAGACGTTTTCTCACTGGGGGTGAGAACTAGTGGGTAGCGAAGATGGTACCAGTCCATTATTCAGATGGGGAAAAGGAGTCACAGAAGTTAAATGACCTGGCTGAGTCAAATCAAGATGTGTATTCAGCTCTTTGACCCTGAAACCAAAGTTCCCGATGCTATGCTAGGCTACACTGAATGCTGATGTTTCCATTGAAAAGCAGAGACTGTTTTCCCTGCTGACCTTCCGAAAGTGAACAGGGATGGCCACAGAAGGAGAGGGGCACTACACAAATCGGCCCATAGCAAAAAGAACACCAGATCTCCCAAAAAACACGAGGCCTTCAGCATCGGCCCTCTGAGACCTCGTGGGTGCTCTGGTTAGTAAAATCTGAGAACGTGAACTACGTAAGCCTCGTTTCCTACCGACTCCAGCCCACTTACCCTATAGTTATGAAGTCTCCTTTGCTGACAGTGTCAGGTTCAATACAGATGTTCATAAAGTCTTCTTTGCTCTAAAAAGGTTAAAAATATTAATGTCAATATGATTAACATTTTGGCTGATCCCACCTGTTGTCACTCTGAGCAGGTTCACATTGGGAGGCTGTGCTTTATACGTTGTGAGGCTGGACTTTAAATCTAGTAATTTAATCCTGGATACACTTTGGTCTTCCCCTCCTCTCCAAATCAGGAGCGTAATTGACGTACAAATTATATAAAATTGTTTTGTCTTTTACTATGTAAGAAACATTAAAACTCAGGGCAGGAGGTTTGGAAGGTCTGTCGGTCGCTAATCATTACGCTGTTTCCGTCTCTGGGATTCCATCTTTCCCCTGCAGGCCCAGCCTCTGCCCACCGATCCCAGCAGCTCTCAGTCCTTCCTGTGTATCATCATCCTACCAGACAAGGGGCTCAGCTGCTCGGTGGAAAGCCCAGGTGTCTGCAGGGGTGTGTGTGAGAGTGCGTGTGCATGTGTGTGTATCTTTTAAATGTTCTGTATACAAATTTGGTATTCAACCAGAGTAGAAAAACAGTGATCCATTTGGTCCGCGATACTGCTTTGATATTCTCCATTTCCAATCACAGGAAGCTCTGGAAGAGCTGAGCTACCAGGAAGTGGCTATGAAAACAGACTTGGTTCTGGTACCACTCTTCATGTTCTGCTACCAGTCAGAGGCCAGCGACACAGACCTAGCTCTGCGTTCGTCAGTCCGCACTCTGTGCTGGCTTCTAGTAGAGGTTTTGTTTCTTTCTGGATAGGTTCAAAATCGGTAGCCCCAAGACAACCCACGGGCCTCCGAAAGCCCAAGGCCTTTGCCTAAGATTAAAGTGTACTACACCAAAGGACAACTTCTCTCTGAACTAGGAATTACAAAACAACGTGCATGACTTTGCTCATCTCTTATTCAATCACTACTTAGTGAGTGCGGATCATGTACCCCAAGCTCTTGAAGATGCTCAGAAGCAAGACAGACATGAATTCTGCCTACAAAGATCATATGTTCTACTGTGGGGGCTGGAAACGACAGAGGGACGGTGATATAACAGTAAATTACAGATTGTATTAGGAGACAAGTACACCAGAAATGTAATAGATGGCTTCAGAGAAACAGGGCAAGAAACATGAGGCGGAACTGATGGCAGTGGTTACAGTTTTCAAAGAAGGGTCCAGCTGAGATGGGAACCTCCGAGCGGAGACCCAGAGGTGGCGAGGACACCAGCAAGGTGGGTCTCTTGGGCAAGGTGGCAGATCTTACAGAGGCTCACTAATACCTGGACTCTGGTTTTTATTTCTCAACTTAAAAATAAGCTGAATAACCATGTTGTACACTGTAAAGATGTACAGTGATTAGATGTAAATTTAATAAATATTTTTAAAGAAATTAAATAACATAGAAAATAAAATAAACCCAAAAACCAGAAACCTCAGATTCAGGCCCCCTCCTCAGAGTTTCTGTCTCAGCAGATCTGGAGTGAAGTCCAAGAATTTTCATTTCAAACAAGTTCCAGGTGAGGCGAGGCTGCTGATCTGAGAACACTCTGAGAACCCCTGGTCTCAGGGCACACACAGAACTGCTGGGGCAGAGGCCCTAATGGAGGAGCATGGATGATGTGCAGGGAATGGCAAGGAAGCCAGTGTGCTGACGCAGAGAGAGTGCCAGGGACAATAGGGGGAGGTGAGGATGGTGAGGGAAGGGAGCGGGGCAGAGCAGTAAGGCTTTCTTTTCTTTTTTTCTTTTCTTTTTTTTTTTTTTTTTGAGGTTTTTGCTATAGGGCATGTACGCTTGCCAGAAAGACAGAGAGAAACAGAGAGGACCCCCCCAGGGGGGGATGGCCACACCACAATTCCTTCTCCTCCATTCTCGGGATCTTAGGCACACACACAGACAAGCCCGGCATGAGTTTAAGCCACTGGGTCTGGAACTCGAGCGAACTGTGGTCGACTACATGGGAGTTCAGTGGCGTAGCCATTACACTAACTGCTGGTCCCGCAGTAAGGCCTTTTAGACCACCAGAAGGAGTTTGGCTTTCAGTCTGAGTAAAATGGAAAGCCAGTACAGGGCCCTTAGGAGGGAAACAAGCTCTGGCTTCCTTTTCTTGGGATCAATGGTTGCTGTGTTGAGGAGCAGCATTGGGGAGGGAGGGAGGAAGGGAGAGCGAGCGAGTGAACTGGGAAATACCATCACAGAGAAGCCATTAGGAATGGCCTAGGGTTTGGAAGACGCCAGGAACCACAATAGGGTCTGATGATAGACCACTGAAAGGAAGGAGACCACTGAAGGGAAGGAGATGGACTGGTTTAAAGCAGTTATGAGGAGGAAGGAAGCCAAGCTACCTAATCACAAGGCCACATGTGCAGGGGAGGAATGGGAAAGAAAGCACGGCCCGGCCAACCCCAGTGTGTTCATGCTGGGAAAATTCATTTTGCATGCCGTAATGATACACAGTGATTGAATGTGTTAAAAAAATTGAAAAGTGCTGCCGGCAAAGCAGAGCCTCAGGGCAGAGTCACGTATAAATTAGAACAAGGGTCAGCAACTGTTCTCTGGAGCGGGCAGGAGAGCAGATATTCTGGGCGTGCAGACCAGGTCTCCATCACAGCTGCTGGCTGCCACAGCGGTGTGAAAGCGGCCAGGGACAGCGCTGAAACGAGTTCGTGCACCTGTGTCCCCAGAAAACTTCGCGTATAGCCAGTCACTGACACTGAGATTTCATATCATTTGGACATGTAGCAAAATGACTCCTTTCGATTTTTTTCAGCTATTTAAAAATGTGAAACACATCCTTAGCTTGAAGGGTGCCCAAATACAGATAGCCAGATGGGTGGGCCGGAGGCTGTCCTTCGCTGACCTCTGTTCTCAGCTTTGTTCTGGAGGCACCATTTCATGACTGGAAACTGATCCTCTGTAGGTGAGCCCTGAGGCTCTGCTAGAGAGAACAGAGCAGCCTTTAGGACTTATGTTGCCTCCAGCACTGACGCGGGACCAGTGTCTGCCAAGGTATCCTAGTTTGGTGGTGGGAACGTGAACTTCCTTGGCTTTGTGATGTGATGGGAACCCCTGGGGTGGTCCTGCCTGGTCCTCTGCAGTAGTTCTTTCTCTATCTCAGAGGTTTCTCACACACATCACCAGTAAACACTCAGCTGAAAACACAGAGGAAATCGCTGTTGGTCCCCGGCTCGCTCACTGGTGCAGTTTGTTTTCTCCCTGTGGCTCTCTTGGTGTATGTCCTATGATTCTAGCTGCCTTGATTTCCCAGAATTCTCAATTCTGCCTCCGCTGAGGGAGACCACTGGGCTGTGTTTGGATTCCCTGACCTTGTGCTGTGGCCTCTCCAGAAGCAGCTGGGTGAGCAAAGGAACTCCCGTTTGGTTCCCTTCTGTCTGGGTTCATCTTCTGTACCTCTTGCTTCACACCAATGTCTGTTGGTCATTGTTTCAAGATTCAGCCTAGTGGTTAAGGGAGCTGAGTCCTGCATGGTTGACCAAATCCAGGCCCCAGAGGCTCAAGAGACATGTCAGGTGCATGTGCATGCCCAGGATCCCAACAGGATTGAGAGATGAAGGAAAAGGGATTGCAGCATAACCATACCCCATTAGGAGGGAGGCTTTCTTCCCCCACCCCCATCCCATTCCATTCTCTCTCTGGTGAGTATACACTCCCTCCAGTGGGGAAGGAAGGAAGGAAGGAAGGAAGGAAGGAAGGAAGGAAGGAAGGATTGATTCTGTCTAGTTTTTAGTGTTTAAAGTACAAAGGTAAAGCCTTTACATATTGTTTTATCTTGGCCAGAAGTCTCACAGCAATTTATTTTATTACATTGACAGATTAATTGAGAAAAGTTTATCAATAGATGCTGGAAAACTATTTGATAAAATTAAATACCTAAGATATTTAGGGACCAGCAGATGGCATAATGGTTATGTTGCTGGACTCCCACATGGCCAACCACAGTTCGAGTCCCAGATCCAGTGGCTTCAAACTCACGCTGGGCATGTGTGCATGCGTGCTCAAAATCCCAAGAGGATAATGCAGGAAAAGGGACTGCACCATGGCCATGCCCCCTGGGGGGGGTGATTTCTAGCTTTCTGTCTCTCGATCTCTGTCTTTCTGGCAAGCACATGCATCCTATAGCAAAAATCTCTCTAAAAAAGAAAAAAATACCTAAGATATTTAAGACAAAGATTTAAAAAAAAATCTTAGTAAATTGGGAAGAAAAGAGAACTTCCCTAATCTGATAAATATTATCTTCAAAAAAAAATTTCCCAAAACTAAAAACATATTAAATTCAAGAATAAAGCAGTGAAGCCTTCCTCCAGATCAAGAATATAACAATGACACTTCTATCATTATCCCAACTTAACACTGCAATGTAAGGTACGAGAAAGGATTGTAAGCATAAGTGTTTGAAAGGAAAAAACAAAACATGTCCTATTTGTAGTTGATAGAATTGCAGAAAACCCAGAAGAATCTATAAACTTAATAAGAATTTAATTAGGTTGCTGTTTCAGCATCAATACAAAAAAAAAAAAGTCACTCACATATCCATCTACTAAATTAGATAGAAAATGGTACTTTGAGAGAGACTATTTACAATAGCATCTAAAATGAAGAAAACTAGGAATATATCCAGCAAAAAGAAAGAATATTGTAGGAAAAAAAAAACTATAAAATTTCACTGAAAGACACCCAAGACTTAAGTGAAGAGACGGAGCACGTTCCTATGCTGGAAGAGTCAACACTGTACAGATGGCATTTCTCCTCAAATTGATCTATGGGTGCAATGTAATCCAGATCAATACTGTAACATTTTCATGTGGAACTTAAGAAAATAAACATTATAAAATATTTATAGAAGTCCAAAAAAGCCAAGAATACCCAAGAGACTCCGCAAGAAGAAGAAAAACTAGAGGAACTTATTATAAAACTATAATAATTAAGAGAAGCACGATACTATTGATAGTACAAGTTTATAAAAATAGAACACTAGAATAGAGAAAGTAGACGTATTTGCATGTTTGTAGCACTTGATGGACGACAGGTTTACTGAACATCAGTGGAGGGGGGATAGAAATGGGGCTGCCACAGCTGGCTTTCCATTTGGAAAGAACACAAAATTAGGACCTGACCTTCATCATTTGCAAAATGCAAGTATAGGTGGGAGTATCCTTTTTTAAACAAAAGCAGAACCATTCGACTGAAATCACTTTAACCTGATTTTTCATTTAAAGTATGTGATGAGCATCTTTCACATCAATAAATACAGAAAATTATATATCTAAAATGACATGTATTATCTAAAATAGGTATACCATTAAATCAGTCCAATTAGTTTGTTTCATATAGTTTACTGTTACAACTACAGAGAACACAGCTGTACAAGAGATACTAATTTTCATGCATTCCACACTCCTCAAGCTTCTCTCATTCTCTGGGGTCCTTTCAATGATCAGTGAACATTTTCAGTTATTGCATGGCAGCTTCATTGTCTCTGCATATTTTATTGTATTTGCTTTTATTTTTACAAAGAGGTGTGGAAAAAAGAAAAAAATCATGAATGTGCTATTAGTGATAAGAAGCACAGTATCTTGTACTTTACAACAGGCACAAAGGTAAAATGGGTCTAATCTTGAGCTGCAATCACATACTCACCGAACTCAGTCCATTCACTGGTATTCAATCATCAGAGGAAAGAACAATGGTAAAGAAAGCATGAACAAAACACTGGAAATACGTACTATCAAAATCGGGTATAAAGGAAATGCATAATTAGAAATTTTATCTTTCTTTTTTAAATTTCTCTGGAACAGAATCAATTTCATCAACCTTTATACACGCCCTTTCACCAGTGTTTTTCAGGGTTCTATTATGTAAGGAATAAGGACCGCTTTCATTATACACTTGTCTGATTATTTCTGTGAGATAAATTCCTGGAAATATACCTAGCCGGGTCAAAGATGTACCTATATTTTAGATACCTCATAGACACTGCTATGGAGAAAGATGTCCAATTTATACTCTCATCAGAAATACACACCAGAGTGCTCACTTCCCCTGCCTCGCCCACACTGAGCACGATCACGAGTTTTACTCTATGACAGCTGACCAGTGACTGTTATCATCTGCGCTTGTTTGACACTGAACATTTTGTCTCCTCACTTACAACATGAAGGTAAAAGCGATACCTACCTTACAGTGTAGTTAGGAGGATTACATACGGTAATATCATGAAACATTATTTAAATATCAATAAAATTATAGGATGGTGCCTAGCAAGTAGTAAATATTCAACCAGTATAAGCTATTTTTTTTCCATGTTTGTTTCTTTTGTGAATTTTCTATTCTTACCTCTTGCACATTTTTATATGAGTCCTTTGCCACTCTTTATCAATTTATCCTAAGAGTTTGTTAGAAAAGCTACTAACTCCTGGTCTATCACATCCTAATATTTTTCCCAATGTGTCATTACAAAGCTTCTTTACAGTATCTTTTTTTTTTTTTTTTTTTTTTTTTTTTTTAGTAGAGACTTTTGCCATCAGGCGTGTGCACTCACTGGAGAGACAGAAAGTGAGAAATCAGCCCCTGGGGGAACCAGCAGTTGGCATAATGGCTATGTCACTGGATTCCCACGTAGTCGACCGCGGTTCGCGTCCCGGACCCGGTGGCTTAGAACTCACGCTGGGCGCGTGTGCGTGCGTGCCCAAGATCCCGAGAGGAGAATAGAGGAGAAGGGACTGCAGCGTGACCATCCCCCTGGGGGGTGATTTCTCACTTTCTGTTTCTCTGTCTCTCTCTGTCTGTCTGGCGAGCACACACGCCCTATAGCGAAAACCTCTCAAAAAAAAAAAGAAAAGAAATCAGCCCCCGGGGGGATGGTCACGCTGCTATTCCTTATCCTCCATTCTCCTTTCAGGATTTTGGGCATATACAAATACGTACACAGGGCAAGGTTTTAGTCGCCAGGTCCAGGACTCAAACCGCAGTCAACTACATGGGAATCCAGTGATGTAACCATTATGCCATCTACTGGTCTCATACATTATCATTTTTAATAAGTATATACATGCATCTATGTGACATCTGCCTTAAGTGTCATGCTTAGAAAGGAAAGTCTTTTCCTTTCCAAGTTTATGTTGACAATCACTATGATTTTACCAGTACTAGTACTTTCAGTAGTTTTACTTTTTTACATTTTTTTTTTAAAGAGATTTTTGCTAATCCCTTCTCCTCCATTCTCCTCTTGGGATTTTGGGCATGCACGCACATTTGCCTAGCATGAGTTTCAAGCCTCTGGATCTGGGACTTAAACCAGGGTTGGCCATGTGGGAGTTCAGCAATGTAACTGTTAAGCCATCTGCTGGTCCCTACAGTTGGTTTTAATCAAACTGGGATTTTTTTTTTTAGGAGGTGAATGGAGTTAAGGTTCCCAAATGTTTTGCAGTGGACACAGACCTACTTTTAGAATTAGAAAATAACTCAATACTCTGAAAATTAATATTAGAATCAAACGTCTCATTGCATTCCAACTCCATCTACCAATTTTCAGATTGGCCAGGGCGACTATGAATAGACTATGATTTGCATAAAAGCTGAATATAGTAATTAGTCCACAGTTAAGAATGATTTTCTATTGGCATCTCTATACCAGGATAAGTAAACTTGTTCTAAAAATGGCCAGACAGTAAATGTTCTTGGCTTCCAGGCCGTAGTCAGCTCTGCCACTGTAGCCTGCGAGTCCCCAGACAGTGTATGGAGGAGGAGCGCGGCGGGGTCCCAGTGAACAGATACTCACACTTAACTTTCCTGTATATTTCATGTCATAAAACCTTATTCTGCTTTTGATTTTCTTTCTACCACTTAAAATTAGGAAAGCGATTCCTACCTTATGTGCTATACAAGAACAGATGGAGACTGGCTTTCCAACCCCAGTCTATCCCAGCCGTTGGCAGTCTGCAGTCTACAGCAGCCGCACCCAGGAGCACTTTCTGCACTGCCAGGAAGGTTTTACACTTGAGCGTTCTGGTGTGGTGGCTACTGGCCGCATGTGGCTGTGGAGCAGTTAGGATGGGGCTAGTGTGACTGAGGAGCTCAACTTTTAATTGTACTTAATTCTAATGAATTTACATGGCCACGTGGCTAAGGGCTACTGTATGGACAGTGTGTCTGTATACCAGACCCACATACGATCATATATAGAGATGTATGCATTTATTGTGTATGTGTGTGGGAGGGGAGGGGCGTATTCTCCTCCTGGGGCTCTAGAGCTACATATTTCATACAGTCACAAAAATAATAGGTATGTACTCAAGTAAAAGTTCCATAGACTTTTATTCTGGTGGTAAACGGGAGTAGTTAACTTTCATTTCTCAACTCTTTTGCCAGAAGTTCCCTGAAGGCCGCCCAGGTGATGACCAGAACACTTGATCAGCGCCCCTTAAGCTTTTATGCCAGAACCCCTTCAGCTGCAGTTTCTCTTTGTGATTATTCCTTAAAAGCACACCACATCCTCTTCTTCTGGATCCTTTCCTTTCCAGCCCCCCACAATATAAGAATAAAAATACTCTGTTCATGGCAAAGCAGGTAGCCTGTCATTTTCCCTGACAATGCTTTTCTACTAAAAAACACACTTACTGTCAGGTCAAGCTGGCTGTTCCGAGTGGTGATGGACAGTTCGATAGTGGACAGCTCCACTTCTTTCCACACCTGTGGGCTTGCCTCTCGGGAGACGGCTGTGGGAATCCATTAGACGGAGGTCAGCTTCTTCCATTAACATCTCACCCCACCTCTGACCACCAGGTGCCAGCAGCTCAGCTTGGCTTTGCCAGCCTGTGCTGACTGTCCACCTTGGTCTTACCCGTTTCATTTGTCTCACACAAAGGGGGAGAGAGCCCAACTCAAAGTGGAATCTCAGCCCGAAACATGCGTCCCAAAAGCAGCCCAAATAATGCCAACACCAGTGACAGAAAGTCAGTGCAGAGACGGCTGTGCCCATTCCTGGCTTGGTTTGGGCTATGCTCTGGTGGTACACACAGGCTGAATCTTTGTCCTTCAAACTGATTTTGAGGGTCAGCTTTAGGACACACCTACACTGGCCAAGGCATCCCAGTTTCCAGTGACCAGGTGCTCACCATCCTGCGGCTGTGCCCAGTATGACGCAAGTCTTCGTAATATTCTCCTGTACAAAGAAGGCCGGGGAAGGGTCTCTTCTGGCTCACTGGGAGGTTTCTCTGTAGGTCCCGCATAGGAGATAGAGGCTTGATGAGTCTGAGGCCACTCCTTTAATGTGGAGAGAAAAACTTTGTCATGTTTTTTTCACAATTCAAACACTGGGAGTTTCTCTCTGCAAAGGTTAGTATTCTAAGTATTCCTGCTTATGAAAAAAAAAAAAAAAGCTAGTACTCTCTCACTGGATGGAAGTCTAATTTGCAGCATGGAATCCTCAAGCTTTCTTTTTTCCTATAAAAGCTTTACCTTGGGGTCAGCGGGTGGCATGGTGGCTCAGGTGCTGGACTCCCACGTGGCTGAACATGGTGTGAGTCTCTGACCTGGCAGCCTGAAACATGCCAGCTAGTGTGCATGAGTATCCAAAATCCCAAAGGACGGAAGAGAGGGGACCGCAGCGTGGCCACCCTCCCTGGTGAGTGATTTCTCATTTTCCTTCTCTCTGTTTCTCTCCAGTGAGCACACATGCCCTATAGTAAAAAACTTAAAACACAAACACACACACACACACACACACACAAACACAACTCCACCTTGAGTGGCCAGGTGGTGGTGACACAGCAGTAATGTGGGTAACTGGACCCATGTGGGAAGGTCCCAGGTGCGTATCCCAGGACTCCCTGTGTACACTGGGCTCACGTGCATGTGTGCTTCTGCATGACTCAGGCTGGCTGGGGATGGAGAGAGGACTACGTTGGGATGTCTCTCTCTCTCTCTCTCTCTCAAAAATTAAAAGAATAAACTTACAATAATAAGAACAGCAAACCAAAAAACTCCATCTCCCAAACCATGAACTCAGCAACTGTGGCTTCCATTGCTTTCCCTGACACAAAGCAGACAGACCAGTGAACAACTGTGTACATTTGTCCAGAAACAAAATTCAGTATAGATGGGAACAGAGTAAACACTTACGGGGTCAGCCCATGGGCAGGTGTTTAAGGAGCTAGATTTCACATGGCTGACTGTGCAGTTTGAGTTCTGGACCCAGCAGCTGGAGAAACACCAGGTATGTGTGTATGCCCAAAATCCCAAAAGGAGGGAGAGATGAAAGAGAAGGGATCTAAGCATGACCATTCTCCATGGGGGGTGCTTTCTCTTTCTCTTTCTCTCTCTTTCCTTAGCTCTCTGGTGAGTGCACATGCCCTCTGGCAAAATGAAAAAGAAACAAGACAACAACGTGTCTTTTGGTTTACAGTTGGCGACACCCTATATGGAATCCTATCCTGTACAGAAGCAGATAGCCAGGCTTCCAATCCAGCCAGTCTTCTTCCTTCTGCTTCAAACCCATCACTCTCATACTCTCGACTTTGTCTCCTACCTCCTGGCACCCCAAGCCCAGATCCTCCTGGATCACATTATGTGCACGTGTGCTTCTGCATGACTCAGGCTGGCTGGGGATGGATAAACATATCATTGCCCTTCAGCTGATGTCACCTCCCAGTCACCCACTGCCACGGCCACATCATGGTCCTTACTGTTACCCAGAACTAGTCTATCTTGGAAATTTGAAAACCCTTAAATCCTACTCTCCAATCATGTCCCATATTCTTCTGGTTGATTCTTTTGTGTCTGATTTGTCTCTTAGGGTGAACTACTCCCCTATTCTCAAGTTTCCAGAGGTGGATTGTAAAATAGTATCAATTCTGGTTTCTCTCATGGTGCCTCCTACCTGCTCCCTACCCCCCCGCCCCCCCAAGTCCAGAGGGACCAAGGCATGGATCCAGCTGCTTCCTCTCTCCCTCCTTCTGATGGCGGCTGTCTCCGATCCCCAAGCATCCACTGCTTCTTCATGGAGTAAGCTCACTGGTGGTCTGCCCTGAGGAGCGGTTCTAAGTGGATAAACTCAATTTGGAGGATGAGGAAATCAGATTGTGGCCACATTTCTAAGCTGTGTCCTTCACTCCTGCTGACATTTATGAAGCCGATGTTTTGATCTCTGTCTGCCTGGTTCTTGCACTTGTTTTCATAATTTGATTCAAACTCAGAGGAGAAAGAAGGGGTGTTATTTTGGGGCCTCTGAAGGTCCCAACCATATCAAGCTTTTAATCACATTGAGAACTTCAGTCCCTGACCACTTTCCCTCAGTGCCAAATTAGCCGTCCATTCCTTTAAATCGCTTTCTTCCATTTACTCTTGGCCTCCCTGAGTCTTTATTCTCCCCTAACATGTGCCCTAAAAAGCCCCAGTTCTGGATCAATCTTGTTGCTCAGTTTCTGTACTCTTACATCATGGCTCAGTACTATCAGAAGGATAAAAATAATACTCCCACTAAATATCAATACAGGGAAAAATAATTGCCCAAAGGAGCATATTAGTGTCTACTAATTCTTGATCTCACATCCTCAGTGTCTTTGATAATCTTTCTAAGACTTTCTACTTTCATCTTTCCCCAAAACCCCTATGCTGTTGCCACCATCACCACCCACCTTATTTTTATTTATTTATTTTTTTGAGAGGTTTTTGCTATAGTGCGCATGCGCTCGCCAGAAAGACAGAGAAAGACAGAGAGACAGAAAGCGAGAAATCACCCCCCAAGGGGGATGGCCATGCCACAATCCCTTCTCCATCCTCCTCTTAGGATCTTGGGCACACCTGCACATGCGCCTGGCATGAGTTTAACCTACCGGGTCCAGGACTCGAACTACAGTTGATTACATGGGAGTCCAATGACGTAGCCATTACACCATCTGCTGATTCCATCCACCCACCTCATTTATTTATTTATTTTTAGAGGTTTTTGCTATAGGGCACACGCGCTCGCCGGACAGATAGAGAGAGACATAGAGACAGAAAGCGAGAAATCACCCGCCCCAGGGGGGATGGTCACGCCACAATCCCTTCTCCTCCATTCTCCTCTCAGGATCTTGGGCATGCACGCACACACGCCCAGCGTGAGTTTTAAGCCACCGGGTCCAGGACGCGAACCGCGGTCGACTACGTGGGAGTCCAGCAACATAGCCATTACGCTAACTGCTGGTTCCCCACCCACCTTATTTTTGAACAGATCATTGCTTTCTATGCTTTGATGAGACTACCAGGGACATCAGTTAGCACTTCCTTAACTATAACCCTGTCTACATCTGGGTCCATCCTTTTACCGCTCTCCTGCGTCAATGGAAAAGGAGTCCTTTCCCTGTCCAAATATCCAGTACACTAGATCCTACCCACTTCTAACTGAGCATGGATTTTGCAAACTCAGTCATGCTTTCTGTCTCCTTTTTCTTCATTCTTCCTATCTTTCTTTTATAAAGACATGGATATTTCTACAAAAAAAAAAAAAAAAAAAAAAAAAAAAGAAAAGCAAAGCAATGCTCCATGCTCCAGAAATGGAGGAGAAGGGATTGCAGTGTGACCATACCCTATTCAGGACCGAGAATGAGTGTGGTGGGAGTGGGAGGAAGGCACTTTCACAGGGGCTTGGTGATGTGTGGTCCCCCTTCCCCAGATCACCAGGATCCTGGGCACACACTGACATACCCAACACGTCTTCAGGCCAACCAGGGCAGGGACTCAGTGGTGGTTGGTATGTGTCTTCCAGCTCCACGGTCTGGTACACTACTGACTGCCACAGAGGCTGAGCTTCAAGGTTAATTTTCTTTTTAAAGAATTTTTTTTTAACTTTTATTTATTTATTTATTTATTTTAATTTGACTATAGAGGGACACACAGAGAGAGGTGGGGATAGTGAGAAAGCAAGTCACCAGTTCCGGGACTCGAACGGCAGGCGGCCATGTGGGAATCCAGCACCCTTAACCGCCATGCCTCCTGCTGGCTACGCAAAATTAATTTTTTAAAATCATGTACTTACTTCTAGTAGTTTAGTGATTTTAGCTCCTCTGTTTTTAAGAGTTTTTGTTTTTAGTGATTTTAGTTCTTTATATTTAATTTTTGAATCCAATTGTATTTTTTTTAGAAGGTTAAAAAACATGAGCAATGTGTCCCAGTGTTTTGTAATGGACATGTATTATTATGATGATGATTAGAAAAACACTAAATAATTCTGAATATTAACCTTGTAACAAAACTTCTTACTACATTCAAACTCTACCTGTCTATTTTCAGATTGGCCAGCCAATTGTGAACATATTATTATTATTTTTTCATTTGCTAGAGGGCATGTGCACTTTTGGAGAGAGACAGAGCAAGATTGGGAAAGTGAAAAAACTCCCCCTACCTATGGGGAATGACTGCACCACAATTCCTTCTTTTCCATTTCTCCTTTTTGGAATTGGGGCCCACAAGCACCCAGCATGTTTTTCAAGGTGCCAGGTCTGAAACTAGAAGGATGAATTTTCTTTCTTTTCTTTTCTTTTTTCTTTTCTTTTCTTTCTTTTTCCGGAGAGGTTTTTGCTATAGGGCATGTGCGCTCGCCAGACAGACAGAGGGAGACAGAGAGAGAGAAAGTAAGAAATCACCCCCCAGGGGGGATGGCCACACCACAATCCCTTTTCCTCCTTTCTCCTCTCAGGATCTTGGGCACGCACGCACATACGCCCGGTGTGAGTTTTAAGCCACCGGGTCCAGGACACGAACCACGGTCGACTACATGGGAGTCCAGCGAGCCACATAGCCATTACGCTAACTGCTGGTTCCTCTTTCTTTCTTTTTTAAATTGCAAGAGAGCATGTGCATTGACCAGAGAGAGACAGGCGGAGGTGCGGGGAGAGGGAGGAAGCACCCCCAATGGGGCGTTTTCATGCCACAATCCCTTCTCCTCCATTTCTCTAGGCTGTTGGGATTTGGGGCACACATGCACACATGCTTATTTTTCAAGCTGCCGCAGCCAGGACTCAAAGTGTGATCAGCTATGTGGGATCTGTCTCCCTTAACCATAAGGCTATGGGGCCAGCCCAGGGATGACTTTGCTATTAGCATTTTCATTAGTATAAATGATTAAGCTTTCCTCTATGCCAGTAACTGTAAATGTGTGGAACATTACTGCCCAGTACAAATTTCTCTGATGGTGTTCTACATCTGTATTGTCCAGTATTGTGGCCACTGCTCACATTTTACTAGGAGTTTACAACCTACACAAGCCTATTCAATTAGGTATAGGCAGATACAAATCTGTGACTCATTTTCAGATATTAACACAGAACATATACAAATGATCAACAACCTATATCTCATTCTGTTCCAAGTTTATCTGGAAAGAG